GAGAAAGACTCGTCGCCTGTCCAGCTGCAGCTCAGAGCCCAACACCCCCAAGAGCGCCGCCAAGTGTGAGGGAGACATATTTACCTTCGACAGAGCAGGTATGACGTGTACGGCACCTACAACCTATCGAGAGATGCCGAGATGGCCTGACGCTGGTCTGATGGACCTTTCTGTGAAACCAGGTCCAGAAGGCGAGGTTCCCCCGGGAGAATTGGACAGGGTTTCGTACTCGTCTCTGCGCAGAACACTGGATCAGCGTCGGGCCCTCGTCATGCAGCTGTTTCATGACCATGGCTTCTTCCCCTCAGGTAAGCTAACAGTAGATAAGACATGACGTCACAGGAGAAGCAACAAACTAAAGCTAGAATCATTATGTAGTGCAAACCTGTTAATAACAAAAGCAGTAATGATGAAAATATGTCACAGCTGTGTGCTTCCACCAACAACTTAAAAAGCAAAATCACTGTCAGACTGAAGCAAGGAAAGAAGAATTTGCATTTTTCAAATTATTATTTAATTATTTATTTAAGTGGGAGTTTCCATCGCTATTTTTTCAAGAAAGATGTTTACAAAAACACAGACAACACAGTACAGACACTTAATACAAAGAAATACACCAGACTTCAGAATAATCAGATAAATTACAGTCCAAATAAATATAATCCTTTAAAACGCTGTAATGAAATAAGAAAATGTAGCTTCATACATTTTCTTATTTCTTAGCTCGTCCCATTCGCAGGCAGCAGAGCATTTTAATGTGTCTATCAGAGGTCTACCTAATGTTAAAATGTCCTGTGAATGGACTTTGGTATGCTATTTAAACGTCACAACAAGGGTGCGGAGGTAGACCTTCCCACTTTTTTATAAAAGATACAATGATGAGTGAGAAAAGCAGCAGTCTGTGACGAAGAGAATCGAGGGACTTTCAAAGTGCACAAATGACATAAACATAATTTCCTTCTCACTCTCCTCTCTCCAGCTCAGGCCACAGCTGCCTTCCAGGCGCGCTACTCAGACACGTTTCCCAACAAGGTGTGCCTGCAGCTGAAAATCCGCGAAGTCCGTCAAAAGATCATGCAGACGGCCACGCCAGGAGCCCTCGAGCCCGGAGCGTTGGCCGAAGCCAGCCCCGCCTCTTCCCACAGCTCCTCTTTTAATCAATCAACCCGGGAGGATGCAGGGGTGGAGCAGCAGGGAGACAAAGGGCGGAGCCCCGAGGAGCCGAAAAGCGAAGGATCGTAAGCTGGAGAGGGCGACGGAGCAGAAGAATGGAGGAAAGACAAAGAGGGAGAGAGAGGAGTGCGTTAACCAGTGAGGTCCTATCTACTGGCGCTAATCTCCATCAGACCTGGGCAGAAATGTGGAATGTGGTCACAAATAATTCAAACTACTCAAGGCGCGCTTGGATCATCTAATCAGACCTTTAAAAAAAAAAAATCAAAAAGCCTCAAATATGGTCAAATCACATGCAAGTCACGATGAGTCAAGTGCTTCTTGTATTGTTTTCGCTGTTTATTTTCCAAGTATCCAGAATGTCTTTAGTTAACCCTTTTGCCCGGGTCTGCTCTCAGCACATTTGTACAGTAGTTTGTAGTTTGACACACAAACTCTATCTCTCTGGCAAACACACACATGCGTACAGACACACACACCAGCCCTGGTGCATATGTAATCTCCAGCATGCACATGATCCCACAGAAACACGCATACACGCTTAACAATCAGACTGTTACTCTTGGTTGGCAGCCCCCAGGAGTTGCTACCAAGGACCACGACACACAAAGGCACTTTGTCACTTATTGTGCAGATGCAGTTTGCTGTTGCCAGCCAGCCAGCCCTCAGATGCCATTGACTTGACCTCTTTCTCGTCCTCCCACTCCTCAGCACAGTGGTCAGGACATAAAAACACAACCCCAACGACCTCCACTGATATTTCACAGCCCCTCGATGCTGCAAGACAGACAGCACACACACATACACAGTACACACACACAAACACGCGTCCGTACAGCGTGAGTACACAAACACAGTCAAACACCACCACCAACCCCGCCCCTTGGTCTGACCAAGCCATCGGCCTGCACAGTTTTTAGTGATTGTAGTGAGAAGAGAAACTGAAAGCATGAAATTTTATTCGCTCCTGAAAAGAAAAACAAAACAAACAAATAAAAACAAGAAGGCAGGAGTCGTGATGTAGTGTGACCAATCTTTGCACCTTCAGTTTATTGCCATTATGAAAGACTCGAGTCCTTACTGGCGGGAGCTGATGATCTATATGTCTGTATGTCTGCCGGGGGTCATGACCCCCAAAACCTGTGCAAACAGGCACCATAAAGAGATTATGTAAAGAGACTTTTAGGTTGTGAGGCTTTGAAGAATCAACGTTAAACTCGACACCGACCAGCTCCCAACAGAGCACGGAGAAAAAGGGCGGGAGAAGGAAAAACTGGATGCAAGATTCATATTCCAACGATGGGAAGACGTGATAGCGGTGAATACGGACAACATGACGAGAACCAAACTTCTCTGAATCTCCCCCCTCCCTCCCCCCATGGATATGATGTTGCTTTCTCTCATTATCGTGGAAATAACCAGTTTTAACGTGGCCTGTTTTTCTCTCTCGTGGCTCTATTGTGTTTCTTCTCCAGCATAAAAAAATAATAACAACAACAACAACAAAACTCTGGACAAATAAGGGGACAAAAATCAGCGTGTGCCCCGTCTCTCCCCTCCCTCCCCTCCCTCTACGATTTCTCACCAGACACAGAAGCGGGGGAGCAGGGGCGTTTGTCGTTTTGTAAAACGTTGAAATCAGGTGTTTGCACAATTTGTGCGGCCCTCTCCGTCTGGGGGCCGCCACAAGTTAAATCAGGAAAGTATTGTTTTTAGAGATTGTTTTAGTAGTTAAAAAATAATAACTTGTTCCTTATGTTATCAATCACCCTTTTCCTCCTTCCCTGCTTTCCTCCTCAGCCCTCTCTCTCTCCTTCTCCCCCCTTTACTGCTCTCCTCCCTCCGACCCTCAAGTGTTGTCTGAAAGTGCCCTTAAGCACTGGTCCCGGGTCAAGCGCTATGTAGCTCAGGATGGTTCTGGTTAGGGTTAGTTCAGGGAAAGCGGATCCTAGACCAGCACTGGAGGGCAGTCTCCGGAGCCCTCCCCTTGTCCCTCTCTTCTCGACACTTTATCCTTTCCCATCAAATGGTGCAATAGGACTTTTTTTTTTTTAAATGGGTGGGTTATTTTTTTTTTTTTCGGGGCAAGGCTCTGTGCCATAGATATTAAACCCAGTCAGACAGTGAGAGGGATGAGCTGTTGTCTATAAATATGGTATAAAAGAAAACAAAAAAGAATCACGCAATTATTGTTCTTGTTGAAGCGATAGAAAGTATAACTTACTAAAAGTCAAAGACAATTTTTAAATAGCACTTTTTGGCTCTTTGCTTCTCGAGTGAAGAGTGGGGGTAGTTATTATTATTATGGGTATCTCTATAATTTCTCTGTATACAGTTGGATGTGTGAAAAACAAATATATATACCGGTATTTCCATATATGTGCATTTAGGTCTGTGTTTGGGTGTTGTGTGTATGTTTTGGCACATGCAGGTAGCGTGTTATCACGACCAACCTCTCGTTCTTTCACCACACAGCAACATTATCAATAGTATATTTTTCATTGTATCTACATTCTATATTCTACTCTAGAGACAGTATTTTTATAGTCACCATGACTATTTTGTCTGCCATCTTGACTGTTATCAAACCCAGTTGATTCAGGATATATGTGAAATATATATATATATCTATATATATAGATATGTAGATATATCTATATATATATATATAAATACACACAGGTAAGAAGAAGACTATCAATTCACATTACTTCGGGGTTAGGGCTGTAAAGTGTCTGTCTGCATGCATGTGCAATCACATGCACGCGTGCACACACCCACACAGACATATGTGCATACACACACGTATGCGTGTACACTGTATGATTGTGCTTAAAAATAAACTGTCCTTACTTTGGAGAAGGAAATTTTAGGATGAGCGATGTGAGTGTTATCTCATAAGCAGGCATGTTGACCATGTGCAATATTTCTAAACAACAAAAAAAGACTAAATATTGAAAATATTAAAGTTCTAACACAACCTCTTATGTGCTTGCATTTATTTCATGTCCCTGCATTTCTTGAGTCTTTTATAATGTCGTGTGTCTTATTTGTGAATCTGTGTCGGTGGGAGATGAATCTCTGCAAAAATCATAATGGCAGCAAAATCCCAAAATCCCTGGAACATACAGTGTGTGCTTCTCCAGCTGGCCTTTATCGAGCATATCAGTGTTGAAAGTGCTTATTGGATTAGAGCAGCCTTTGAGATTCAGGTCATATTGGGCGAGAAGCTGGGTTAAGTTAAGGAGACCTGGTCAAAGAGCTTTCAGTACAGTAAAACAGATGCTCTGTGGGAAGCTGGAGATAACACCTGGCTGCCCACTTCTGAACCCTAAATAAATCCATTGGCCTTCATTAGTTCTTTTTTTTTTTTGTTTACCCAAGCAAGACATAACACCAAAGGCATGAAATAAAATGGAAAAAATACATTTAATTTAAAGGATATGCTGTTAAAGATTTAAACGGCACAGCAGTGTTGAACCTCACAGTGATCGGTCATTGAGTTTTATTTGTATTTCCAATATTTATGTTACTTTTATTACATTTTTACAAAGAGAAAAATTAATATAAGAGTCCAGGCTGTAATATGAACTAAAGTAAAAGGGTGTGAGTTATTTCCGAGAAAAAAAGCTAAATTCTGTGATGTATCTTGAATTTTTTGTTGCTTTTCTACAAATGTTATAGTTTTACATTTAAATTTAACTGTAGCTGCGGCTCTTTCTGGCCTACATCCCTCCTGTTAATCCAGTTGAAATTTGTAGTTGTTTTGATTTGTAAAATTCAGAGCGGCAAACCTAAGTAGCGGCTGGCTCTAACTCCATCTCCCAGGTGTCATTGCGTGCGGTCTGTTTCTAGGTGTCTAGCAACAGCTATAAGCCCAGACAGCCGGCGGCAACGGGAGCGGTGTTTCTTGGTGTGTCTTTGGTGTGATTGTTCGTTGCCGGTTGTTCATAAGTAATAGTGGTTTAGCTGAAAAAACGGTGAAACAACAACCCTGACCCCTGCACAGAGATATGAGCGGCAGCGGGCGGCCCAGGACCAGCTCGTTTGCTGAGCCGCCAGGTGTTCCAGGAGCCGCTGCTGCGTCCGCCGGATCAGCCGCTGCCGTGGGGAGCAGCACAGGAAAGACCGGGGTCTCGCAGGCCTCCGGTAGCAGCTCGTCAGGATGCTCCAACCTTAAGCTTGCCAGTAAGTTGTAATTATCTACTAACTCCTTATCAGAATGTGCTGAATCAATATGTCATATTACAAGTTACAAACTAAAAACTACACACCGTCGTTATGTGTCACAGCGCAGAGGAAAGTCGTTATTTCTCCGCGAACTGGCTAGCAAGGTTACTAGCCTGCTAACGTTAGCCACTTGTTTTGTACATTACTAGTTCCCTGTCCGGCCGATGGCTCTTTTCACCCCGTCTGGTGTCAAGACTGTTTCACATGCCATCATTTTAATCGAGCAAAACTAAAGCACATTAAAGATTTGAAGTAACTAACTAATATGTGTTTAAAAGCTGCAAGTGGGTTGGATTTTTTTATTGTGGTCATTGTGGCTGCTGAGCTGTTAAATCAGCTCCGTTGTTCTTTGTGACCAAGCTAGACTGTTATACCCCAAGTTGAGTTCTCAATTGAAGGGTCTTTTGTAGGTGTAGCTGAGAGTGCCATTAGCTAACAGTCTGAATCCACTGGTGGAGGGTCAGGGCGGAAAAGTTGCATATTCACCAAGGTCACCTGCGGGGTAGTGTTAAAAAAAGAAGCTTAGCAGCAGGTGGCCGACGCCTGGAGGATGCAAGTGATCCACGTCCAACAGCAGAGCCCAAGGAGTGGGTTTCCTCAGTCTGAGGAGAAATAATAGTATGCCCTTTTATCACTGTAGTAGCGGGTGTAAGCAGAGATCTATGTGTGTGTGTTAATCCAAACCTTATCATCCATTTGCAGCCACTGCCGCGTCTCTTGATATTAGAGCCCAAAAGGGAGGTCATCTCCAGTTCAAAGCCATGTGACCCCTAGTTTCTCTGCAGCAGAACAACACAGACTGATGTCCTATCAAATGTTGCCTTTGGCAATTTAAAGATACTCTTTTGAATGGTTGATCAGGTGTTTTTTTTGTCATGTTTGAGCAACCTGCAAGCTATACCTGGAGGCAGAATTTCTGTCAGTAGGATTTTCCTGAATATATCACCAGGACTGTGATATTTATTTATTTTTATTTTTTTAAACAAGTTCTTTTTGTAAGTTGGGTAAAAATACTTTAATCCATTTTTGTTCATCAGAAATAATAATAAAAAATTAAAAAAAAAACACCTAACCCTCTGATATGCTTAATTGTATAGCCAGCCTCACTCCCAGCAGACCACAGTGAACCCGGAGCAACGTTGACACGTGAGGGAATGAAGTGATTTGGGGGATTAAAATTAAACTTGGACATGGAGCTTAGTCAATGCAAAGTTGAATTGTAGTGCTTCACAGATGACTGACAAGCCTATAAAAAAAAAAATAAAACAAATGAAATAAAAAAGTAGAGAGTAAATTATAAAACCAAACAGAATAAAATACAATAACTTATTTTATTTATTTTAAACCTTACATGCCTTTTCAAAAGGAGAAGGGAACACAGGAAGGTAACACCCGATAAATATTTGAAAGGGATTTAACATTAATTACATTTTGAAAACTAGATACAGCAAAGCCAATTTAAAAAGTGGTAAGCTATGTCTATAAATCATACTTAATCACAAGCCAGGCTGAAGAGGCCGGTTTTAGATTTTCTATTTCAGTGATTGTTCCTGTGATTTGAAGCATAAAAAGTAAAAAGCTGCCCCACCTGGTATAATGGCGTATACTCTGAGAGCATATAAGACACATTAGGGCTTTTTTCTGGCTAAAAATGGACCTTTGGGGCAGTGATGACTGCAAATATAATCACAATTTCTTCCAGTATATGTAAGGCACAGAATCTGTGTTGCCTTACTAAAGTCTACATTAAACATTAAACACCACTAACAAGAATTAAAAAAAAACACAAAAAACCAACAACTTTGAAATCATAATCCTGCTGATCTTTCTTTAGGTAGAAAGCCAACACTTTTTTTGTTTTTTGCTGGAAAACTCCTGGATTTGTGCAGCAAAGGACCGTGTAGGGCCTTAATGCGTACCATCCATCTTGTCCAGATAAGCACTCAGGCTGCTGTTTTTTCAAAGACTAGATAGCTGAGCATTTTTCAAGCCTGCTTTAAAAGCTTGGTCACTTGGAGAGATAAAGAAATGGTTTCACTTTTGTGGCATTTTTAAGGAGATAAATGGCAGATCTGGAGATAAATCTCACATGAGAAAAGTTCAGCTCTGAGGCTCCGTCCACACTAATGCGTTTTGAAAACACATCGTTTTCTCTCCATTTTGGCCTCCCATCCACACCGGATGGCGCTTTCCCCAAGGAAAAACGCAGCGTTTTGAAAACGCTCTGGAAAACGAATACATTTGAAGACGGTGCGTTTGCATCGCAGTGTGGACAGTGAAAACGCAGACTTTCGAAAACGATGACGCATTTTAGTCATGTGATGCACTCATGTGACTAATTAAACAAAGATAGCGGAGGGCATTATACAGCAGTTGTTTTATTTGCTCTCAATTTTGACAGCCCTTTTAAACATTAATATCAGTTTGTACATGCTCCAGATAGCTTTTCTTCAAATTCTTTAATTCTCACTCGCTTTTGCAACTTTGTACTTTTGTGTTACTTGCAGCAACATCTCCACCTCATTGTTAGTCCATTTGGAAAAACTCGGTGCTTTTCCTCGACATTTTGCCGCGACATTTCAACGAGCCGAAAAGTAAATAAACGGCTGACAGAAATGAGGCAGGCCGAATCTTCTTGCGCTTCACGCATGCGCGGTACTGGAACGTAGGCGTTTTCTGCCGTTTCAATGTGGACGCACAACTTTGTGAAAATGACTGAAAACGCTACTGTGGACTCTGAGCGTTTTTCAGACGAAAACGCTGTTTTCAAATCTATCCGGGCTAGTGTGTAGCCTGAGTCAAAGTCCACAACTAAATCTCTAACGCGTTGGCTTGTTTTTCAATGGATCTGTCTGTATAAAGACTGGAAAACATGTAATGTTGAGGCATTTCCTTGATGTTATAAAATACCGGTATTGGTCTAATTTCAGTCCTTTGCTCTGAAAATGGTACTTGTTGTTGGTAACTCTTAAAGATGACATTTTTACCTCACTGTGTATTAAACAATGAAGAAAAATGCACCTCCTTATAGCTTAGATTAAATAACAGGTTGCTTACCCACCTGGTTACCTGCCAAAATAGTTTTAATTGGTGTGGAGATGTCCTGAAAACCTTAGTTTTCTGCATTAAGGCCCTGTGTGAATGTACCTCCTGAGCTGACAAGCCCTGACATGTCTTTGAAGTGAAGGAGGAGGACTAAAGACATGCTGTGTACAGTAATCCTCTATGATTACATTTTTGCTGAAATACGCTGTTATTAATACTTATATAATCACTAAAATATTTCTCTCTTGGAAATTAGAGTACCAGCATCAGAATTGATGCTAATATTATGGGATGCTTGACAGTGAATTTAATTTTTTTGTGTGTGTATGTGTATTGTAGAGTTTTTCTATTCAAAAGAGGAAACAGGTCCTGCTTCCATGAAGCAGAACATTTCTTCACATCGTTGTATAATTACCTTGTCGGCTGCTGTCACCGCTGCATCCAGGAAGATGTTCTCTTTTCCTGTTTTGTTTTGGTTTTTTTTGTATGGTCTGTGAGCAGCACCAGGATTTATCTCAGGTCTGCTTCATGCATAAAGTGTAATTCCTTTGCAGTGTTTGAAGTTTTATAATGCAAAATACAGTTGAGGATCTAACTTCTAGTTTCGTGCTCATGGAAATCCGATGTCAATGCTGGATGAATGATATGAGGGCTTGACTTTTGCAATGCAATATATAAAATTCAGAGCATCATACCTGTACAGTGGAGGTTGAACATGTAGGACACAAGTCAGGGGCAAGAGACCGTTCGCCTTCCAAGTAAAAGTTGTGATGTTTGAAATGTGTTTATCCATCGGTAAAACTGAGAAAGAGTTATCTATTTTCATTTATGCTTACTGCTTATTCTTAGCAAGCAAGTTGGGGGAAAAATGCAATTAAATTAAATCCTGGATGTTTGTCCTTCACACGAATGATGCCACACCTGTAACTGTGAAGCTTTTGTGTAGGTTAACAATGTCAGTATTTCAGGCTGTCTTTTAACTGTAGCAGGTGTTTCCTGGCTTAGAATAGGCCTTGCTGTTGAATAAGTCTGTTAACTTATTCAACAGCATTCATGCGTGTTTCTACCCTTTGAAACATTGTTAAATACTAATGTTGTTAATAAACGAGTGTATAATTCCCAGTAACACACATTTAAAACATTTTTTTTTAATCTGATCCACACAAATATTTATTTTGTTAGGATTAGGTCACTCTACCTGTGACCTGGACAAGCTTTAGAAAACGGACAGCTCAGTGTCAGACTGTCAGTTTGATAAAGTAGGAAATGTGTGTTGAGTCACTATCTCTTCTGTGAAACACTGCAGAGGCGTTTCTGATACAATCATGTGATCACCTCAGGCTTGAGGGTATCACAAGGTTGGTAACAGCTACATTGATTTTATGTAAAGTTGATGTAAATCAGCTTACAGTTTACTCACAGATGTAACCTCAGTGTACCGGGAAGTGGACATGTTTGTTTTTTGGTTTGTTTGTTTTTTATGGACATGTTAAACATAACATGAGTGCTATACTCTAAAACAATAGAAGCCTCTTTCTTCCACCAGCAGTTCTCCCCACAGAGCAGATGCCCTGGTTAGATTTTTTGGAAGATGCTGCTGCATTAAACTGCATATTAATAAGGTAAACTTAATTCTCTTGAACTACTTTGCTTTAAAGTGTGGAGTTCATCTAAGTGCAGTTTGTTTCTTGTGTGTAAAGATATTAACACAGAAACCTGCTGCTTAAGTGTGGCAATTCAGACTACTTCTTGCATAGTGTAACCCTCAGCTGACTAAATTATTTGGCTTATAAATTACCAAGTACGCTTATTTATGGTGCCCATTTTATTCTGTATGGGACTTCAATGTATTTACATTTTGTTTTCAAAGTTTAAAAGGTGTGAAATTATCTTCCATTCAATTAAACTGTGTCCACACCAGAAGTGATTTGCTGCACTGTAGTGACCAGAGATCACAGAATGTACATATTTGGCAACGCAAAAGTGGGCGGGACCTGAGATAAACTTTTCTCAACTTGCAGCAAATGACTGAAGGGGCTACCAGTGAAAGTGTCAAATGTCATATTTGTCATAAGACCTAGTGGTAAATAAGGTAGAGGCTTACTAGACAAGATGGACCTTGTGATTTCCACAAGTGATCATCATCAGTTTCAAAGCGATGCACAGTGAGTGAATGGTTTTCTGTGTGCATATGAATCCTTGTTTACTCAAGTTCTGTTTCAACTGTGGTGTAAAAATTTTCAAAAAGGAACGAGGGGCAAGCTTATTGATGGCATTTAAAAGCAGCTGGAGATGAATGGTTCACGTTGGGTTTTCAGACAGACAGGAAAAAAAGGAGAGAACTGAATAGAAGCTTAACACTCGGTGGTTAATGCTGACAATTTGTTTTGATTCCAGCTTACTTTTCCACTGGCTGCAGATATTTGTAGGTTTCTAGCACAACTCTATTTCCGCAAGTAACATGAGGGGAAACTTGTTGTGATGCACCATTACCAACTACATTACTAAATCTATTTGCGTCAGTAATACTAGAAAAGGAACACTTAAGGTGGGTACAGTGTGCCCTTATTATTTTAACACCAGCCTTTTATCCTCTGTTGTGCTTCTGTTTCAGAGCAAGTCTAAACAAACACATGGTTTTTAGATGTGTCGTATTTAAAATATTTGCAGAGAAACATTCAAAATCAAGAGTTCTGCAGCAGTAAATCTTGTTCTAGGTCTATTATCATATATAACGATTATGGGTGGGAAATTACAATAAAATCAGAGTGTTTATTGTCGGGACTTGCATGCAAGTGTTCATTTTTCTTGCCACAACAATGAGCCACTTGCAGTAAAATACAACGTATAAATATACAACCAAATTCCTGTTAAGAAACATTTTTTGATTAGAAATATCCCAGTGGGAGATAAATGTTCAGCTGAGGTCATTATTAATTTGACTTGGAGGTTAGGAGGAGTAGATGCAACACGCATTTTTTGATCTGGCTACAATGTATCAGCCTTTTAAAAAAAAAAAAAAAAAAAAAAACTGCAGCTGAATTGGTGTTGGTGTGACAGAGTTTGAATAATGGCATGCATGCAGGGATTATTTCCTCCTGGAGACGTGTGTTTCCCGTCTGTGAATGTCAGGTGAAAGACAGGAAGCCAAGCGGTGACACACAATGCAGCGCTGGTATGAAAACACTGAACCGTGAAGCGGTGATAAATCAGGAACTCTGACGAAGACGGAGAAAAGGCTTCATCTTTATCGTGATAGATTAACAGCCTCGAGCAAGTTACAAGCCCGTGGAAATTATTTTTCATGCTATAAAAAATAAACAGCAGCAGAAGGGGGGAGCAGCATCTAAGACAGTTGCCCTACTTTTAACCTGGACAAGTGAGTGTGTTCATCAGGGTTCAGAGCTTGAACCCAGTCAATGAGGTAGGGAACCCACTGACACGGTCTCGCTGCAGGCCTCACGGTTTCAGCTGTAACAGATACTGCCATCGTGTCATTTGGATAACCAGGACAGTTTGCTGTGTGGACACAGACATGTAGGAACACTAGGGTATGCAGTTCTGTGTGAACGAGAACAATATCAATAAGTGCATTGTCTTGTTTGGTAAACAGAGCATTAAGTGTGTGGACATAGAGTGGTAGTGACACAGAACCATCATAGCTACATGACAGTGTTGCCCCATTATTTAGACTGCACAGATAACACAGGAAAATTAAATTTAAAGTTAAAGCAGGGTTGTCATATTAAGTTTAACCAATGGCCACACAGAGAAATGGGAATCGGATCAAGGTTCAGACATAGATTAAGCCTAATCGCAGACCGTCAACACAGGTTTTCATTGAGTTTTTCGTTTAGACTGGGCCTAGGGCTAATCCATGTCTGGGAAACCTGCTGATGCAGTTTATTCGAGGTTTTTCCAGGCTCAAATGAGTCTTTAAGGGTATTGCATAAAGGCATGATTGATCCACATATACTCAAAACTAAGACCCGTCAATTTGCCAAACAAAAATGACATTTTTAATCTTGAGTTTAGTAAACCCCACTGAAAACACAGTATTGGTGATTTTCATTTGGTGGAAACCCAAAACTACTTTGGTCTGTACTGGAAATTTCAGAACTAGTTGACAGGAACAACAGATGATTCCCAAATTTTCATATACAAGACAGTGACTTTTCTGCACGAGGCATATCTTCCTATGAGAATTAGTACTTCTAAACTATGATTCTACTTGGACTGTTGAGGAAACGTTTTGTGTGTTTGTATCCCCCCCCCCCCTTTTTTTTTTTTTTTACTTTTATCTGTTTGTTTGTGGTGGTGGTGTTGATGATGATTGATTGAAGTGTACATGCTAATTTATCAAACATTTTGACACTTAGAAACCTTGTTGGTAAAAAATAGATGTGAAAGGAAATTGGGCCGATGTTGGAGATGCTTTACACTTTTCTCAACTCCAAGGCATGCCTTATCTGATAGAGAACAACCCATGCATTTAATTTCTTTTTGCAGTATTCTGATATTTCTTTCTTTGTAAGAGACTGGGGCTCATCGGAAGAATGTCACCGTCCTTCGGTCTGTGATTCAGTTTTTGCTTTCACACCTCGACCAGCTTTGACCTGAGAGAGAGTCACTGTTTCAGCCACGTATGCAGGATTTCTGTTCTCAGGATTATTTTTACATGCAAAAAATAGCCTCTTTTCCACCAGCACCTACTCAACGTGACTCTACTGAGTTTCGATTCTTTTCCATTATAATTGATTACTACCTCAATGTGGGTGGTGGTATTATAGCAAGGTCCTGTGACATTTTTATGCAAAACAAACACAAAAATGGAGGGCACTTGTGCGTAACCATTTTCATCATTTCCAGGTTTCCACAAATGACTGGTTTTATTCCTGAAAGTTGCCCTCATGACTCATTGACTGACGTCACTCCCTGGCCAATCAGTGGCGTGCAGTCTGTTGATGGCACATTTTCGGCTCGACTCGGCTCACTTGGAAATCCGTTCGAGTAGGTACTAAAAAAGTACCTGGTACCAGGTTGTACTACCACCTAATGGAAAAACCTAAAAACAGTCGAGTGAAGTAAGTGCTAGTGAAAAAAACGGGCTTTAGTGAGCGAACATCTAGCTGACAGGAAACGAGGTGATGGGAAAAACATGAAATCATGTGTGCAAACCAAAGTCACCACCTTAATGATTGAACCATTCGGGTAGGTTAGATGTCTGGGTAATTGAACCTCAATCTGAGGCTCACGTGTGAAAATGTTAATGGCAGAAAAGTATATTTCCTCCATTTCAGTTAAACAATAATTGAGTGAAATGCCACAGTCTTCCCATTATACTGGAGGCTAATATATGGCTGATGATGCTACAAAAATAATCCTTTTATGTTAGACTGTTATGACTTAAAAAAAATTTATGAAGACAAAGAAAGTGGCTGGCCTATTTTTGGGTCCATTCCCACTTTAATTAGTCACAGCGTCTTGAATATGAACTCTGTCTTTCGCTCCTTCTTCCTTGGAGGGTTTTGTAAAGTTGACAATCATTCACAGGCTGTCATTAACCTAAATAATCACCCGGCCAGTGGAGAGACAGCCCAGATGTAAAGGCTGTTGGCAGTCAGTTGAATGTCAGGAGTGCTGTTTAGTTTGTATCCTAAAGGTCTTTCATTTCTTTAAGTCTCATAGAAATGAGCCAGAGGGATGACAGGACATTTAAAACCTCCTTATAACTGTTCTGTGGTCTGCAGCACAGTTAACCGCACTATACCTACAATTTTTAACATGCCTCTTCCTGCTTGTTTCCTAGGAGACAGCGGGAAGGTGACAACAGTCGTGGCCACACCGGGTCAGGGACCAGACCGCCCACAGGAAGTCTCCTACACTGACATCAAGGTGAGAAAGAAAGAAAAACTGAAGCTCTATGAAATTACAACTTTCTTTTTCCAAGTCTTCTCCTCATTTTTGTTTTGTCTGTTGAGGATGGTTTTACTTAGTTGCTGCATATTAAACGCACAGTTGTGAACAGCACATGTAAAGCCCCCAGTCTATGTAGCAAGTAGAGACCAAACACACTTGTGCAGAACCAAATGCTTATACGTCTTCTTTGGTTTCTTTTGGATTTTTAAAAATCAGAACAACACAATTTCAGTTTTCTTGAAACTAAAAGAAAATGTATCAAAATCAAACCACTTTTAAGGACTTCTGATTGGTTCTTAGTAGCATCCAGGTTTTTTCCCCCCCCTTTTCTCCAAGAGCAAAATGAATTTATAGTTTATGTAGTTTGTAACAATGAGAAACTGAAGTTGAATCAAACAGTTGGCGAGTACAGTGCGCTTGTCCTCCATTTGTCATTGTTGGTGACGCCACCAAAACATCCAGTCTGTAGGAGAGTTTCAGCTGATGGGTCATCATGATACAGCATCAAGCAGATTTTTCACTGAAGCTGAAATATTTTCAACCCACACAGACGCATTATTGCCACTTTTCTTATTGTCTAACAGAAATTTTTGGCAAACCAAATCGTGCATAAACTTTGTATGTAATCTCAGCAAAAACTGCCCTCGTTTGGTATGACAAGGGCGTTAAAGACGTTAAATGGGATCTGTCATTCTTATTTCCAACTTTATATTTTTATTGGATTCTCGTGATTAGTTTTTGATGAGTTAGTTTTCATGAGTTTTTAAACGTCACAGGTTTTAGTCCTTGAGGGCCAGTGTCCTGAAACTTTTAAACGTGTCCAGCTGCAACACAACGGAATAAAATAAGTAGGTCATTAGCAAGACTATAGAACTGCATGCTGAGGTGGCAACCCCTAACCTAACTCAAGTAAATTAAAATACATGTGTTTGGAAAAATGTACTCCTAAAAGTACTTTAATTGCACCATGTTCATTCACTCATGAGCTACTGTAACATCACCACCTCAGCATGAAGTTTCAGAACACTGGCCCTCAAGGACTGGAGTTTGACACCCATCCTATAGAGCTACCAGTGGAACAATCTGAATCCTGAGCTTTTGGCTCACAGGGATAAGTCAAACGTTATTTGAAACTTTAATCACTGCATGTGGAATTAATAAGGGTATTGGTCAATGCTGATATTTCCATAATTATTCTGCCAAGCCATAAAAATGCATGATTTTAAAGGCGCACATTCTTTTGCTTGTGTCTTTGGAAAAAATGACATAACTGTGTCAACTGTAGCCTGAAACTACATAAAGAAGAGTGTTGCACAGAGCCAGGCTGTTATCACTTTTAAGATTACTTAATGGCTCTGTAGGTGTGTGTAAATTCAGATTTATCACACTTTTATCACAAAGCCAATAAAATCGTCGTTTAGGCTTATCAGAAATACTTAACTTGTCTGATGCCTGCAGCAGTGGAACGTTATCATTATATTTGTATAATTTGGCAAGAGTCTTAAGCAGAAATAAAATCTGACTACAAACATCTCAATGTGCTTAATCGCCATTTTTAATACCTGTAATTTTAATACCAAAGGATTTAAATGGGAAAATTGCCAAAGAATTTTGATTTATTCATGTACTGTTTCTGTGCTCATGTCTGACTATCCATCTATCTTTTGTGAAACAGTCACAAGATTTAATCTATTAAAACATTTTCTTGATCATTAATTTCCCCTCTTATTTATTTTTATAAACAAATTTTCTACATATGTCCACATAGTTATCATTTCACAGAAGTCCCGCATGAGACCCTTAACACTTCTGTTAGATTACTAATGGAATTTGGTTGGACACCATAAATCGTTAGGTTTAGGCATGAGAAACTACTTCATTAGTTTTATAAGAATAGGCTGAGGTAGGATTAACAAAAAAGGAAGATTGTTTGGATTTAAATACATAAGTTGCTATTTTATAATTTAAATTTTGTGGTTGTTAGAGTGACAGATCTCCACTGAAGAGTCATCATATGCGCTGTAGGCTTGAAAAAGACTTTCAGAAAAAAACAGACTATCAGTCAAAGATGGATAGAGCCAATTTATTACTGTTAAAAGAATGGAAACACCAGCAGCTGCAGCTTTCAGGAAATTAAATAAATGTTTGTGGTTGATCACATCCTTCAGTCTGACTCTCCTGTTCTGTTAAAACCTTGCAGGTCATTGGGAATGGGTCGTTTGGTGTGGTGTACCAAGCTCGCCTCATCGACACACAGGAGATGGTGGCCATCAAAAAGGTTCTGCAGGATAAGAGGTTCAAGGTAGGCGTGTAATTTAGTTTCTGTAATAATCTTATCAATGGCACCCCCCTCACCCTCCTTGTTAATAGTTTTCGTGATCACTTTGTTTACTTGGTTTCCCTCATTGACTCATGTGTCTGTTTGTACAGAATCGGGAACTACAGATCATGAGGAAGTTGGACCACTGCAACATTGTCCGATTACGTTATTTCTTCTACTCTAGTGGCGAGAAGGTAAAAAAAACAAAAGGGTCATGGTACAGACTACTCTAAAGAGAGCTGAAAGAAGAGATGGTGAAACAAAACTAACATAAGTTAAGCTATGGTTTATAAAAAAAATAGACATAAAATAATTAAACCTCTCTAAACTCCCAGTAGTTTCAGTATGTCGAAACTATAAATAAAAGGAAATGGTGCATGTCCATAATACATATACAGATGCTCAGATATAGCATTAAAAAAATAACCCAACCCTAAAAAGGGGAAGAAATTAGTTTCTTTTACTGATAAATATAGAATCTGATTTAATGTTGCAGAAGTAACTTACTGGAAATGTTTTGTATCAGCGTGCGAGGTCATGCCAGGCTTGTCTGTCTGTTTGCTTAGCTGTCTTAAACCATAAATGCTTTAACTACAGTTACCTTTGTGTCAATCCCTCCATCCTTTGCAGAAGGATGAAGTGTACCTCAACCTCGTGCTGGACTTTGTCCCCGAGACGGTCTACAGGGTTGCCAGGCATTTTAACAAGGCCAAGAGCATTATTCCTATCATATATGTGAAGGTAATTCTGCCCCTAATTTCCTTCCAAAACATTTCCATGTTGTCCAAGTCACAGTATTTTTCTGTTGAAGTTTTTATTCTCCAAAAACTTCAAACATTGTAAAGTTCAGAATTTCCTTCTTGTTTTCAAGAATCTCCTCAGGTCTCCAGTACAAATACCAAGCTTTATGCTATTTATGCCTCTTAATAAATTATTTCTATGTTGTCTGATTTTTGTATTTTGTGTTGACCTCCAACAGGTGTACATGTACCAGTTGTTTCGCAGTCTGGCTTATATCCATTCCCAAGGTGTGTGTCACAGAGACATCAAGCCCCAAAACCTGCTCGTCGACCCAGAAACTGCCGTCCTAAAGCTGTGTGACTTTGGCAGGTAAGCTAAACCAAAAAAATTTCCACACAAATCAGAACTTAATTTAACAGTAGTAGCAGGATTACGTTTATCTGCCTTTTAAGTATATATATTTTTTCTGAAATTATTAATTGGAAACGAGGACACGTCAATGGCTATTAGAGCATTATACTTCACAAAGGAAAAGCAAAGAGTAATGTTGTAAAAATACAAAAAAGTTAACCATAAAACAAGCAGAAAGTAACACAGCTGCTGTAAACGTGTGCTGAGAAAAGCCCTGTACAGAGTGTGAAGTATTAAACAGTGATGTATGGTTTCATGCGTCTTATATTAGATCCAGAAATGACAGCTGGCAAAAACTCAAGTTTAGCGTCAGGAACACGGCTCTGTTTTTATTTTTGGTAGTATTTTATTTTTTTTATTCAAATGCTTATTTTTCTGTTTCACAAGCGCACACGTCTCTCCCAATAGCCTTTCTCCTGCACTCAAGCTGCATTACTGATCTCTTCTTCAGTATCTGCAGATGATGATCAGGCATTTGGTTGAAGATCAGACTTTAATTACAATGTTTAATTAGTTAAATTAAGACGTTGTTAAATGAAAGGACTCATATTGTGTGTAATAAAGTGTTAATCTTGCTCTGCCCAGTTGTGTTAATCTGTCTGATAGAAATAAACTATAATTCAAAACAGCAAATGCCTGATTGCAAATTTTATAAAAGTCATCAAGTACTCTTTTAAGATTATATTGCTTTATGAATGTTTGTATATCATAAAAATTGTTTTCAAATTTTGCTTGCTGACAGAAGGGGAAGGTAAAGGAAAGAAGTTAGTCCTCAGAGTCTATATTTCTCTTTGATGCTCAGGGAAATATAAAAACTTCCGACCCTCTTACTATCTGCACACAGAGGCATCTTCCAGGAATAGTGTCACTATTTTCCAGACAACTGAGTGCTCAGTAGGGAGTCGTTTGGTATATATTGATCTCCTATCTTTCTTTTTTTCCTGCTGTCTTTGTTACCATTTAACGTGATTCTTGTGCTTCCTTCAGCGCAAAGCAGCTTATCCGGGGTGAACCAAATGTGTCGTATATCTGCTCACGGTACTACCGCGCCCCAGAGCTGATTTTTGGCGCCACAGACTACACAGCAAACATCGACATCTGGTCAGCTGGCTGCGTACTGGCAGAGCTGCTGCTCGGACAGCCCATATTCCCCGGCGACAGTGGAGTGGATCAGCTAGTGGAGATTATCAAAGTGAGTTGTTTGTTTGTTTGTTTGTTTGTTGTTTTGTTTTTTCATTTAAGTCTTTCTGCACCATTCATTTATACTATTAAAATGTAGTCTTGCAAACACTCTGTTTGAAGTAAATGTCTTATCCTCCTCTTCTGTTCTCAGGTGTTAGGAACACCAACAAGGGAACAAATTCGAGAGATGAATCCAAACTACACAGAATTCAAGTTCCCTCAGATCAAAGCGCATCCTTGGACCAAGGTAAATAACACCTGAGGACGAATAACAGCAGCACAGTCAGTTTTCTCCAGGTCTATGCTCTCTGGAAGCAGGTGCACTGTGAATAAGACCGATCTTTTGTCTGAAGTGAGAAATAAAAGTTATCACAGTTTCATCAAGTAAATGAAAAATGTTATGTTGGTAGTTTCTTGTTAATTATATTGATGGCACTGACTTAGATGTCAAGTAACAGTCCCAAAAAATGAAGTATTGTTGTTCATAATGTTAAAAAGAAAATGGCAAAACCAGCAGTTACAGCTTTTATACTTTTTCAGACAAAATGAATCATTTCTGCAAAAGTAAGTTTTAGGAAATGATTTAAAAGTAGATGCAGAATTTGCTAACCTCGGTTCTTTTGCAAAACAGTTCCTCAACTGCAAGGTGTCTAAATTTCCTTTAGTCTGACCCGAGGAACTTGGGCAGTGACTCAGTTTTTGAAGGGGAGTTGATGTGTAATATAGTCGGCGAGCCCATGAAATGCTTTACATTTAAAAGTTTAAAGTCATTTCTGTATCTTAACTGGTAGCTACTGTAGTGTAGCAGGGATAGGAGTCATTTGGTCTTTGATGTCATTAAGTGTATTTTCAAGTGAAGTCTCGTTCAGTTTGGTGCCCAACGTCCTCTGTAAGCCTCCTTTATGGTTACTGCAATGGTATGCATGACATCATCACAGCCCTGGGAATATTTACATTGGTGTTTGTGGCACTCTGGACTTGCTAGTTTTCTCCAAAACAGTAGGTGTTGCAACCTTTTCACCAGCGCTGGTGCAGAAGAAGTCAAAACAGGAAATGAAGCAGTCACAGAGGTTTTCTCCAGCATGTCTCATATTTTCCAGCTGTTGCAGCTTCTCTCTGTGTGCATTGCTATATGTTGCTGTAGAGCTGTAACACACTCGTAGACGTGGCACCAGGTTAGAAAAACTGAGATACCAAAGCACGGGGCACCTACAGCTAGGACATCATTTTTGTTGATGTACCGACTGCTGCTTCCAGTGCAACCATAAAGTGCTGCCACTCAGAAGCAATCATTAGGCTCATCTTTATTGGTAGGTTTATTGAATTTTAAAGCCCTATAATTTATCTTTTCCCTTAAAAAAAGGACCTAAGGAGGAGGAGAGTAGAAAACCTCTTTTAGGTGCACAAGTTTATTAGAGTAAAAAAGAGAAATCCTGTGGTTGTGAGGATGAGGCCACATGGACTTGAGGTGTTTTTAATGTTTGATTAACTGAGATATACAAAAAGTATATACTCAGCATGCAGCCAAGAGAAGAATCCCTTGTAAATTTACTACAAAGCAGCTGGCTCTACTTCAAAAGCTGCCTGCTGTTGCCTTTGTAGATGCAGAACTCCTGCATAGAAATGACTGTCTGTCATTTTGGGTTAACTTTGGGTTAACTTCCAGAATGGAAGAAACCCTGCATTGCATGTCACTGGTTAAACATACTGGCATATGGAGCTTGCCAGTATGTTTAACCAATGTCTTGCCAGTATCAAAACATGTTGCTTGATGTCGGAACTTTTGAAGAAAAGCTCTCGTATTTCCTCAGGTGTTTAAACCTCGCACCCCTCCAGAGGCCATTGCACTTTGCTCTCGGCTGCTGGAGTACACGCCAGCCTCACGCCTCTCCCCGCTAGAGGCCTGTGCACATGCCTTCTTCGACGAACTGCGCCAGCCAAACACGAGGCTGCCCAGTGGACGAGAACTGCCGATGCTCTTCAACTTTAGCACCACAGGTAGCAGAGTTAAAGTCTCGTTTCCTTCCCTTTTTTCTTTGCTAATTGTTCAGCTAAGTTGTAGCTGCTCTGCATGATGATTCTATGTCTGTAACACGACTTTAAAGTCAGTTTGTTCTGCGACTGCTGAGGTGTTCCGGTTAATTCAGTATGCCTCTTTTGTTCTGTTGAATGACACTGCGCTCTCCTTATGACTCAGCGCTAAATAAAAACTCTCCTTTTATTCTCTGCAGAGCTGTCGATCCAGCCTCAGCTGAACTCAATCCTCATTCCTCCTCACGCTCGCTCTCACACAGCTGCTTCTGCACACGGTGGGAAACTCTTATTGTAATTTTACTGACACTGTCAATAGCAGCTGAGAGGGAAAAAAACTGAAATATATATTTTTACCTTTTTGATTTTATTTTTTTAAACCCAGACACTGAAGAATTAAAACTCTTAAAATTGTCTTTATATTTTTGAAAACCATCTTTATATCTCATGGAAACATTTTAATAAGCACACCTTATTTAAGTCCCATCCTTGATGTCCCCATCAACATCGTATATTTGTATAAATTTGAACACCTCTGTTATTTTTAGTTCATACAAATCCTTAAAATGCCTTGTAGGGAATTAAACTCATTCACCTGAAAAGTTTATGATGGCCATTTGGTAAAATTGAGACAGGCTGCACAAAATTCTCTAAGTTTAAATGCCTTAAATTAGTTCTTCAAAAGTCTTTCAAAAATATTATGCTGTTTGTACGTCTCAGCAGTAAAAATCTTATGGTTTTGTTGTCACCCTGCTGGGTGGGTGGGCGGTCAGCATGGACACCAAAGTTTGTAAATCCGATTACTCGAGAAGGAAGTCGCCTAGGACTTTCAAATTGAAACTTAAGCTACTGTTTTGTACAGATTTAAAATAGATGCAAAGTTGATTTTAAGGCCTTAAGAAGTTTCTGAAGATCTTAAGAGTCACCTTGTGTATTTAAAAAAAACAAACATAAATCTGACATAAATAGTTTGAAATAGAAAGTTTGGGGGAGCGGGTGTTTTTATTTTGTTTTTTCTCTCCTGACACAAGATGGCAGCACTACGCATAAAATTTCAGACTGATTATTTTCTATTACACTGTCTGATGTTTACTGCTCTGTAAAGCTGTAAAGCTTCAATTTAAAGCTCACTGTACCTTTTGCCTCTTCTTCCTCTCCCCTTCAGATGGTACCGGTTCAGATTCATCTCAACACAGTTCAGTACCAGGATCTCTCAACAGCATCTGAAGCAGCTTCTCACCCATCTGCCTGCAAAGCATCACCACGTTTTCTCAGACACACACACACTCTGTGTCCACAGCTGTCCACCATGCTGCTTTGCTATCTTCTTCCATGGTCTGTTTCTGTACAGTAAATCCACTGAGCAAACCCTTCGTTGTTTAGGTGTCAGGGTCGAAACTACGACAGGAGATTGTTACACACACCGAATCGTCCCGCTGCTGCTCGGGTGGTTTTAGAAGGTTCAATAGTCGGGGCTGGTCCTCTGTATTATAAGCTTTTGTTAACCATTTTTTTTTTCCTTTTTGTTTTCTTTGTTTTTATTTATTTGGCTAGGTAAAATCATTATATACCTGTTTCCCCCCCCTCACTTTTAAGATTATTTTTTTATTCAGTGTTTTTAAATGAGTGCACGCTGCCTGAACAAGACTAGAACTGGGCCCCTCATCACAGGTCATCACAGTAGGACTTTAATTTAACTCAGGATGGGAGAACAGTTGCAGGGACATTGACATTATTTTAGTCCAGTCCTCTACCTAAGTTACAAATCAAACCTTCAGCTGTTGTTGTTTTAGCTGCAGATGGAAGAAAAAAACAGGCCAGTGCCAGATAAATGTCAGTTTGCCTCGTGTTGGAAACGAGCATCCTTACAGGTGTGTCTGCTAAAGGAACTAAACGCTTCTCTGACTAAACTATATATACCCAACAAGGAAGGAGTCTTAATTTTTTTGAGGCTTGAGACCCTTTCTCAGTTTTTAACCATGTTTTTACTTTTAAAATTAGGTCCCACATTGTCGGCCACAGAGGCCGTAGGAAAGGGCACTTAAGTGCAACTCGAAAAGAAGGCATCACTTTTCAGGAAATAGTTTTAGACCTATTAGGGTTGGGGGAAAGAAATGGCCTCCTCAGAAATGTTTCTAGATGGCTGGACAGAAGCGTGGCTGCTCGTTCTCCTTCTTCACAGGTAATTTGGCTGCGTTCGCCTGATCATGAAATGTCAGGAAAAGGTTCAGACAGTACTTTTAGTCTTAGATCAGTGTTGTGAAAGAAGATTGCAAAAGTTCCCCATAATGTGCAAGTGGAGGTGGAGACTTTATATAAAAAAAAAAAAAAAGTATTTTCTTTAAGCAAGCAGAAAAGGAAAACTTTCAACCTTCCCCAAAGACATGTTTGAATTTCAGCCTTCTCTGGAAACGGCTCTGTGTTCTGCTGTTTTAACTAAACCAAAAACGTAGTTATTTCTTTACTATATTTCCATATTTGCTTCCTTTTTAAGATTCAATTCTGTGATATGAAGTCAGTGATATGAACATATAAATTGGTGTTACAGTCTGAAATTATTCAGACTTTTAATGGCTTAAAAACAAGAAGCAGAGAATTATCTGATTGGTCCCTCATCCGGTTTTTGTAGTTGTGTGGATATGAAAGCCTCGAAACTTCAGTTAAAACTTAGCAGAAAAATTGATTTAGATGCAAATCATGTCCAGATATCAGAAAGCTGTTTTTGTCTTTTTTGGGGTTTTGTTTTTTTGTTTTTTAAATCCTCCTTGGTTTGGAAATGTGGCGCTTGAGTATTTGTCTCACTGTTGATTAAAGGCAGCAGAGAAACAAATGAAAGCTCCGGCGAGTTCGTGTTTATTTATAAGGTTGTCTTTGGATGAGATTGGAGTTACTCTAAAGTCGTGGTGATGGTGCGAGGATAAATGGAGCTGGGCTATCAGCTCATCAGTGCTGACGTAAGAGGAAGCATATCTGTAGGCAAGCAGGGAAATCCCTTTAAGCTGAGTGTGTGTGTGTGTGTCTGTGTGTGTGTGTGTGGTACTCCTGTGTTCTTGAGGACCAACTCTGATTTAACCCCCGTGATGGTGAGGATGTTCTTCCTGTCCTCACTGCATTGTTTTATTTTTTTTCTTTAAGTAGTTGGAGCCCAGAGAGTGAGTGTGTATGTGTGTGTGTGTCTGTGTGTGTGTGTCTGAGAATACTCCCACCTACAGTCTGAACAGCCAGTGTTTTAGGAATAGAGCAGCCAACAATACTGATTTTTAGTACGCAGTACAGACCACTTGAAAGTTTGTAGTATAGTATATTTGATACTATTGTACCATTGCCTCCACCTGCTCTTTTCCTCCACCCCACCTTTTTTTTTTTTTTTTTTTTTTAAATTGCTCCACACGTTCACATTAATTTTACACAAGGAGAATCACTCTTCCCCGCCAGCCGCTTCATTTGTTTGTGGCGCGTTAAAGCCGGCTGCATCCCCCTTTCTCTGCTGTAAGAGCCCAACCAGCACGTTTGATCGACTCTGCGGGTCGACAGCGTTCACACGCAGAGCTGTCAGTCTTTTCTGACGCAATGAAAAGCTGTGACCAAGCCTGAGGAGAGGACTCAAATGTGGCTGGTTTCAGAAGCCATTTTACTTCCTAACTCCCCTCCTCCTCTTATCGCACGTGTAAATATCACTGATTTTTATTTGTTCCTCTTTTTACTTTTATTACAGAGTTGTTTATATCTTATTTCCCCTCATTAAGCTGTCTTAGTTCCTGCATTTTTGTAAATAATTTTTTTCACTATCCAAAATGTAAATACTGCAAAAGTGAAAAGGAAAAAACAAAACAGCCACTCCTCATGTTTGTTGACGATCTTTCTCTCTCCTTCTCTTTCTTGTGTACCAGTGAAACTGTTTAGTAGCTCGTCCTGTTTCTCCTTTAGTCCTCTGTGGACTGACTGCTGAATGAACCTCTTATAAGGGTTCTGTTCCATAATGCTCTCTCTCAGCTCACCGAGTGTGAATATAATCAGCTAATCTGACGCCTGTAAAGGACTGAGCCATTTAAAAGCAGCATCCTGAGTTTGAGTCTATCCCGAGAAGCCAGCCAGTGACGTCAATAAATGTGAAATGTCCAGAACATTAAACCATTAAAGTGAGACTTAAGGGGTTTATTTTTGATTTAAGTGTGATTATATCTAAAAGAGCTGTTTATGTACAGGATGTTCCACTTACTCCCACCTGCACTAATTCAATCCTCCAACAGGTCCTTTTCCTGCAGCTTTTCCCAGAAAGAGGAAAAACATAAAAAAGCAAAAGAAAATCTCTTTGCAGGTTGTGCAGGTCATATTTACAGTAGTCATTACCTTTTGACTGTAGATGGCGAACACCAGCAAGCCTAATCCTTATAGCACAGATAAAGTAATGCACTGTTTCATTATTAGGCTAAGTAATTGCTCCTGTTACTGCTTCACAGGGGGTAGAGTACAAAGTACAAGCAGCCCATAACAATTCAGTGAAGGTCAGTGCACAGTGTAGTTATTTTATTCCTCACACTCAAACGCACCACTCTCACTCATTTCAGTCATAGAGTTTGGTTTGTTAAGCACAGACTGTATATAAAAGATGGACGTAGCCGCTGATTCTGAAAAGCGAAGCCAAGGTTCTGGTTGCTTAGATGACCCATCAGTGTATTTATCACCTCTTCACACGTCAGTCATTGGTATCCTTCGTTTCAGTCGCTTCAATCACTCGTCTTGAAGTGTAGTTTGTTTTTGGACACGCCCACTTGTCTGTTGTTACTGCAAGTCTCTGAACATGGTGCTTATTGGTTAACAAGTTGCGATCTTGCTTTTCTTTCATTTCACAGTCGGGTCTACCCCCTCACTATGATGTCTCGTTACAGAAAGCTAAGATGGCGACAGTGAAAATATCTGCTCAGGGGCTTTATAACATGACCTCACTAACCAACGGGTGACCTGACAGGAGTTATGTCCATCATTTATTTACAGTCTGTGGCATAAAGTTGAAAGTTAACTCTTAGCTTCTCCAGCTCCAGTTAAGAACTTTTATCAGAGTTCATAAAGCTCTTTAGTGTTTTTTGTTTATTTTTATGTGTGGTTGTACTTCCTGTATTTCTTGCCTTGTAAGTGGAGCAGGTTTAAAAAGCACCTGAGATTTACATGTCCTACTGAGTTATATGATGGTGCTTTATTAGGTGCCTCTGTGTCTCCCCCATTATACGAAATGTGTCCTTCAGTGTTGGCGCTCTGAGGCTTAACCACAGCTCCAGTTGTCATCGTCATAAGGAGCTTGGAGGAGTGTTGGTGACTTTCCAGGATTAACAGGTTTTCACTTTTGACTTTCACTTGCCTCAATCTATGCGTTTATAAACTGCTTGGTTATGGTTTCGGAAAATTTTCGTGCTTTTTACCCAGAGCATCACAACACAGATGCCAGCAGGTTTGACAATGCAGTCTTAACTGACGCCTCGGGATCAGAGCGAGCGTCTCATTAATTCTCATTTTGGAACAGAACTCTTTTTGCTTGTGACAGTTTGCAAAATATGATTACTGTGCAGTATCGAGAGGAAAAGTGTCGAGCGATCTCACAGGTGTTTAGTTGGGTTAGAGTCCAGCTAGTACTCAACATGTGGGCATTTTTGTGTTTATGCGCTGTGTGGCATTCAGAATCGCTGCTAACGATCACAACAGGGTGGACATGGGCGCCTGTGTTACGACAGACCTATCAGGTGTGTGTGGATGTACATTACTGACAGTTTCATGAAGTCTGAATCTCAGAAATTGTTCTTAAATTCTCTGAAAACTCAGATGTTAATATTACCTCCTTTAAAAAAAACAAAAATCACATCTGTTAATTTTTTATTTAATCTGTTTACTTTAGTGTCACTCTGGCCCGTAGACCACTGAGCCTGAGTGCTGGAGGGAGAGGGAGAGAGAAACAAACAAGTCTGTCTCTGTTCTGTGTGCGTACGATATGGACTCATTTACTGTAATAAAGTGATGAAACTGTGTCACAGCGTGGGTTGTCTTGTTTGTGACTTGGATTAAAAGTTAAAAAAACATTTATCCACAGCTCGAGCTCTTTGTGGGCCAAACCTGCAGAAACAAGCTTGTCCTCAGACTGAGATGTCTCACTTCTGCTTACTTTGGTAGACCGTCACCTAATACATCACGTTAAATCACATCCCTGATTAAAGGGTGAACAATTATATTGGACTCTGTCTGCGAGTAAATTTCAGTGTCTTGGTATCTTCCCCCCCCAGTTCCTTGCTTAAAGACCTACTGTGGCTTGAAGGGCCACAAACACAAGTTGGGGGCCCCACCCAAGAGGGAAAATGAAAGGGACACAGTTCAGCATCAAGTCTGTTAAGCTTCACGAATATTGATCTTGTCAGTTAAGTAGCAGAGAGGGTTTTAATCACTTTAAGCTTCTTTGCTGTCAATTAAATTAACTGGTCCACTAGAGGTTCAACAATCAGACAACCCCCAAAAGGAATGGTTTCACGGGTGGAATCCACTGACATTTTTTCCCCTCCTCATCTACTCTGGGGGGTTGTTTTCATGTTTTGCATAGTCTACTGTCACTACTGGTAGCTGTACCCTACAGAGGTTGTGCAAGTAGTCCAATTTCTGGATTCACAGAAGTACGTCCCATTGCTAGGTTTGCTATGTCACCCAGCACAGCACATAGAGGAGAGTCCAGGAGACGGACAGTTACTCCACAGCGTGTTAGGTCCTTATCAGTGTGACCAGTATCTGGTTTTACAAGTAGAGACAGAATGAACACAAAACCCCTTTTTCCCTTTGATAATTTTCATTTGTATCACATGATGTTGCATCCTTTTGTTGCTAACACATCTATCTAGAAGTATAGATATCCAGGAGTCTTCCTGTTGAGTTGTTTTCAAAGTATTCCTTTCTACACAGCATCTCAAGGGAGGAAACTGAGTTTGGTGATGTCCCTGAGTTCTAGGCTTCAGGCAGTCATTGACTGCAAACTTTAATCCAAGTATTAAAAACAATCATAGAAATACTGAATTATGCTGGTTTGTTCAATCAAATCTGCATTGTTGGGTTTAAAATCCCCTGTAGTGATGTACGCAGGCAAAACTACAAGACTTCTGTGTTTAGGGCCATAATTTGTTGGACAGTGGCGTACCTATTGAAGTGGTCAAGAAGTGAAGACTTTGCAGACGCTACAGAACTTTCATGAATTTGCTTGGTCATCGGTGCAGGTGTGCACTTTTTGGAACAAAACACCTGTTTTGGAGTCTTCAGAACAGTTATTGATTTATTTATTTATTTTAAGTCATTTTTTAACCGTGCCTAATTCAATCAGTAACCATAAGTAAGAAATTGTTTCCTTGTTTCTTCTTGTATATAAGAGTTTGTTATTTCACAGGACTCCAGAATTCAGCCGAGAGGTTAAACTTCACTGAAGCAGGTGCCTGAACTTTCTGTTCTTTCCTTTGGGTTTGTTTGAATTTGTATTTATTAATTTTCTTTGCAGCAGTCCATCACCCAAAACAAGCTATGAGGGTATTTTTCCTTCTTTTTGCCGGCGTTGCTTTGTGCATCACAACAGGTGAGACTCATCACAACAAAGAAAACCATTGAACAGAAAAAAAATCATAGCGACATATATGATGCACGTCTTTTCATAAACTACTTTGTTGTTGACAAATGCTTAACTTCAGTCTAAATACTCTTTCACAGCAAATCCAGTGCCTGACATGAAGCAAGGTAAAAGTCCTTGTGATGCATCTTTAACATTAAGTAGGTCAAAGTTAGTTACTGCCAGCACAGAGGCTACATAGAGGTAACTTTTTCTCCAGATAAGTATTTTCTATGTTTTGTGGCTTTGTTCGTGCAATAACAACTGGAAGAAAATGGTACAAATGTGTAAGTAACTGTGTTCCCTGCAGGTTAGTGCCACTTCTACTGTCCTGCTGCACATGCAAGGCTGACAATGTACATTAAAACCTACATTTGATCCATTCTTGTTATGTTCTGTACTAGAGTCACCACTGGAGCTGATCCCTGCTCAGCAAAACAGGACTGATGGTAAGGGAGAATATTTCTTAACTTGTCTGTCCTTCAATCACGGGTCCTCTACCGGAGGCCTGGGAACTTCAGGGTACTGTACAGTATCCATGCTGCTCCTAAGACTTTCCTCTTCTATACAGAAATCTCAGATATCATTCTGAGTTTGGGGGTCACTGCACCAAATGCTCTGATTACTACGAGGAGCAGATCTTCTGCACCAGCTCTCTCAGGTATTTCTCAAGCTTCTCATGTTCCTTCTTCCTAATGTTGCTATCACTACGGCCTTCTTGCTCTGCTTGTCCACCACTACAATGTCCATTTAATTAGCCATAACCAGTTTGTCCCACAGGATCATTCTCAACCACCTTAGGGGGTGTATCTCTTTGGGACATTTAGGCCATACTCAGCACAGATGTTCCTGTATATTGTTATGTAGTAGGATTCCAACTTTTCCCTATTCTCATCCCCTGTGCACTTATGCCATAGCCTTGTACCAGTAGCCTCAACACCTGACGTGAGTCTTGCTAGTCCAGGCAACTTCAGTTATATATCTCCCACTCATGTACCGAGGTAGGCTTTGGGGGGCTTAACCTACAGCAAGCTGGACTTTGGTTTGGTAGCACAGGAACAAGCTCCAGCTGTGTAAAGAAGCCCCTGAGCAACCCAGCACATAACAGCAGGGTGCAAGAAGCTAGCAAGATTACATGCTTCCAAGATACAGGCGGACAAACTCTGATGATGGCTAACCAACTGGGCTCAGTAGTGGTGAACAACCAGAGGAAGATGGCTGTGGTGTTAGATGTAGCTATACAAAGTGCTAGCAATATCAAGAAGAAGGAGCACGAGAACCTTGAGAAATACCAAGAGCTGAGAAAGTAGCTGGAGAAGATGTGAAGGGTGAAGGCAACAGTGGTCACCGTGGTAATCCAAGCCCTCGGTCAGTGACCCCCAAACTGAGCGAGCGACTCCGGCAGATCACAGGAATGTCATCCAAGATCTCTGTAACAGGAACAGCAAACAGTGCGGCACTAGGAACAGCAAAAACCTCAAGCTCCTAGGCCTCTGGTAGAGGACGTGAGCGTGGAGGATAAAGACTCGCCTGCATGGCAATTGTGTAATTTTTTTTCATTATATATAAAAAAGAAATTATAACTTATATAAATTATAAAATGTAGAGAAACTCTCTGAATTAAGTCTATTGTCTATGGAATACCAGCACTTTTCCCAGGGAACTGTCCCCCTGAGTTTCATGAGCACTGGGAGCGATGCTTCGGCTTCTTTAATATCCCCCTGGCTTGGATAGATGCCGAGGTAACCGTGTTACATCATAATTCTACTGAAGACCTTTAGAAATTACTCAGAAATCCATTATATTTTTCATAGTTAAAAAGTAACTTAAGCGTGCAGTTACCATTGAGATCTGAGGCACTGTGTTTGCCTGTGATGTGTCTGCTTTTGCAGAAATATTGTTGGTCGTTTGGTGCCAACCTCGCCTCCATCCATGAATGGGATGAGTATTATTTCGTAATAAAGTTCATGGAAGAAAAGGGATACAATGGTCCGGCGTGGATTGGCGCCTTTGATGCTGTCAGGGTAATGTAAAATGCAATTAATTGTTATTACAGCAGAACATTTATGCTAAAGAATGAATGTCTCCCTGCTTGTTGTAAATGCGTGCCGTGACTGTTGTTATGATTTTATTTTTACAGCTGAATTCTTCTTACATTGCTTGACGCTGCTTGTCGTTTTTGTTTTTTACAGTTTGGAGATTGGCTATGGAGTGATGGTTCAGTAACTGATTTACTCATGGCCCCTGACTTGCTAAAGAGCTGGAATAAATGGGGACGTTGCCTTGCAATAGGTATATTGTAACGTGACTAAATCAAGTGACTACAGAAATGCATGTATGTAATTTGAAATATAAAGCAGAATGGTCACTCTTCTTGTTTTCTTATCAGATTACCCCACACCGAAACGTCCTGGTTGTGAAGAGAGGCTTCCTTTCATTTGTGCATTTAGACCAGGGCTGTGTTATTAAGCACTTACCTGCAATCAATCACATGAAACCAAAATCTAAAATTCCTTTCCTTATTTGCAAAATAAAAGTGGTTTCTCTTAAATCATAGCTCAGTTCTGTTTTATTTATTTCTCTTTGTGCATTGCCCCGGGGTACATCAGCATAATACGTATATGAATGTCATGGGTACAAAGCAGGGTTGATACAGTCTCATATATGAATCGGGTCTGCTTTTTATTTTCATAAAATGTCGACTGTTTGATGAGGTCTTCTCTCATGGTACCCCCGATATAGATCAGTGTCATCAGCATACAGCAGGGTCTTTACATCAGGATAAACAGAAGGACATGATATGATCTAAACAACACACGCAATAACACTTTGCCTTGTGGCTTCCCTCATGGTTAATGTACTCCTAGACCCAGTGCCAAGCCTGGTTAAATGGTGAAGGCTGCATCAGGAAGGGCATCCAGTATACAATCTTTCCCAAATCAAACATCCAAAATCACAGTATTTCTCTACCAGACCAGATGGAGCCCTGATTAACAACAACTGCCTCCTGTGCTATTGGCTAATAGTATGCCAGTGGAAACGGTGATATTGTTGACACTTAAATGTAGAGACTATGACTGGTTAAGAGAGAGAGCAGGATGATATGACATGGAGAAGGAAGGTAGATGTGTGAAAAAAGACCAAGAGGAAGAGAAACAAGGCTGGGAGCGTTAGAAGTAGATTTAAGGTGTTCTATCATGCTGTAGATAGGAAGAAAATGGGGTAGAGTTAATCTTGAAGGAAGAGCATGTTAGTAATGTTCTGGAGGTACAGAGAGAGTCAGACAGGAGTTTGAAACTAAAAAATTGAAGGGCTGATGTCAGTGTATATGCCCCACAGATTGGATATCAATTAAGAGAAAGAAAAATTCTGGAGTAAGTTGGATGAAGTGATAGAGATTGTAAAATGTAGCTAGGCAGCATCAGATGATAGTCTGTCGGACAACTTTAGAAATCCAAAAGAAGAAGTGGGTGAAGACAGAGTCAAGGATTAAATGGTGGAAGTACAAGAAAGGAGAATGTTGAGAACTCTTCTAAACCACTCTCTGAGGTGTTTGAAACATCCTCTGGACAGAGGAAAGAAAATAAGGAGACTTGGTGATGTAATGAGGAAGTGCAGGAAAGTTTTCAAAGGAAAACAGCAAAGAAAAAGTAGGATAGTCAGGAAGATGCATAAAGTTGACAGGAGTACTGAGAGGCGCCATGTACAACAAAGAGAGAGGAGGAAAAACAAAGGCTTAAAAATCAGAATACCTTTATAATCCCTAAGGAAATTATGTGAAAATTAGAGTAAGTTGTATCGGAGGCAGGACATTAAGGAAAGAGAAAAAGACTTCCATTAATTGGGTGGGCTTTTGTTTTACAGATTGAAACCAAGCATAAAATGAAATAAAAAAATCACAACTATAATAACTCAGGTGTATCACAACGTCACTCGTTCGGGGCTAGATAGTTATATTATCTCTGGATGAACGTGAAGCTCCGCCCCGGTCCAGCAGGGGGCGCTGCTGGTCTCGTCGCATTTCAAAGCTTAGATAAAAGCCTCCGCAGCTTCCTTTAGCACATTAAAAAAAAGAGATAACGACAAAGGAGCGAAGGCAGAGCCGCATCTCGAAGGTAAAACCGCAGAAAAAAATCTTCCTGTTATTTATTCTGGCGTATTTTAATCCGGATTTGTACTCAACACTGCTTCGTCTTTAGTATAAAAACACCGCACAGCTCTGTAACTCGCGATCACGTGTAATATCAGCTTCCCTAGCTAGCTCAGCTAACAGGGTTAGCAAGGCGGCCCCGGCTGAGGAGAGGCCCGCTGGCGGTGATGACGGTTTTCAGCTGTTTATTTAACATTTTGTCAGGAAAACAATACAAAGTCAGTGGCATCAGTTATTAGTAACCTGTTAGAGGCTCTCTCCTCGGTCGTCGAGGGTAGCTGCTGTTAACGATCTTTAAAGGACTGAAAGTTGTGATGATTTGACGCCTTTACTTTACCATCTTAGTAACGCCCCCCAGGCAGTTGTGTTTGAAGTGATAAGTAAATCAAGTTTGGTTGTTGGTCCCCGGGACCATAAAATCTGTGTTGATGCGTTTGGAATCGCTGTATAATTCAAATCGTTTAAAATGTGTGAAAAGTTGTATCTGCAGTCGCATCCAGACACTGCTACAGCAAGTCACCTGAGAGATTATTTTTGAGTAGATATATAATATATTTATGTTATAACGACTAACCTGCCTACATTTTCGATGATTATATCAGTAACTCTTCTTACTACTGACACCGTAGTACTGCAGTCACATCATCTAGTTGATCTTCTGAGGGTACGTGAGGTCACATAGTCCGGTTTCAAGCTTCGGTCAGTTCCTCTCGCATTCAGTGATCCTTCTTCTATCGCATTTGGGGTGATGATATCTCTCCCTTGCCGTAGCACGTGTGTTGTACCTTGTCAATCTCTAGCTGTGAGAGCATAGGGGGGTCTAACCTAGGTGGGAATCAAACGTGCAACTCCCGCTCCAAAGGCGTGAAGACCATCCGACTCTGCTAGATCAAACACACCTGGTGACCCCACAATAATAAAGGTCCGCTCAAGAAGAGATTGTGGCTGCTGGATCACTTTGACAATTAAAGAAGTCCGTAATCATATAATACAAATGTTTATTTCTGAAAGGTAAAATCTGGCACTTATACAGAACTTTATGGAAAAAGTTGACAAAGTACATTTTTACAAATGTATTACAGCTATGCCACAAACATTTCAGTCAAGCTCCCTTCACCAGAGAGTAATTCAGTGTGCCAATAATCCAAATCAGTTTGATTTTAAGCCTTTATTGTCTGAAGAAATAAACTCTTAACATGTGGTTTTCAGATCCCTGAAGATACTTCGTTTAATGCAAAAGAAATGCACGACTATAAGGTAGGTTCTTGCGCCGTTATAACTTGTTGCCGGTCGTTCCTGCAGGTTGAAGCTGAGGGCCATGGCTCGTGGGCAGCAGAAGATTCAGTCCCAGCAGAAGAACGCCAAGAAGGCAGCAGAGAAGAAGAAATCTCAGGGCGCTGACCAGAAGACTGCAGCCAAGGCCGCCCTGGTCCACACCTGCCCTGTCTGCCGGGTAAGAAACAGCCACAGCTTCTGCCGAAGCTCGCAGAGGCCTTTCACCTTTGTTTTTAAAATGTTGATGCTTCATATTTTAAGATGTTAAAACAACCAGTCAGCAGCTGCATACGTCATGTGGCTGGGTTTGTGCATGTGAGAGACGAGGGAAACTCTTTAGAGCAGTGATTCTCACCAGCACTGTAGAGATGTAAGACAGGTTTGTCTGTATGCACTAATTTCAGTAATTGTCATAGGTTCAAGTTAATTGCATGGAGTTTATCGTAATGGTCACATAAATATCTCTGTTAAGTGCAACCAGGGCCAGAGATGGAAAAGGTCAGAGGTCATTTAGCTGGGTTTTTAAAATGTAGCTGTTCTGCTTACAGAGTCTGAAGTGATTGAAAGTGGAAAGTAGTTTGCATCCACTTTGGTAATTATTCAGCTGCTGGCCACAGATTAGGTACGTTTGAACTTTCTTACCTCCTCAGGTTCATGTGCACATGTGAATTATTAAAGAGCAGGTGGATCAGTCCAGATGTTACACCTTTTTTTTTTTTTTTGTTTAAAGGGTGTCATTTGACATCTTCCACTGTTAGGCTGTAGCTACAAGCTGCGACAGTCTCAGATGTTAATAACTTGTTAGCAGGATTGATTTTACATGAATTTTAGACAAGATTTTTTTTTTTTGTACTGGAAGCTTTTTGGCTTCTGTTTGTTGTCTAATGTTAACCAATCATGGGAAGGCTTTACCTGCAGGTAAATGGTCTATGTGGAAAGCAAGAGAAACACAGTGGCTGAAATTAACTGTAGAAATTTGTCAGCTTAGCTTTTTAAAATCTGCATCCTAGTTTGAACTGTAAACACTGAAACACAAGACAGGAAACCAGGCTTGACTATCTTTCTGCCATCAGCACCGGAAACCCCAAAACTTTGAATTTCCCCCAGAGGCTCAGTCAGATGATAGCTGATAGTTTCAAACATTGTTAAACTCACAGTGCTGGTTGGTGCATTTTCGGTTAAGTATTCTTTAAGGGCTTTGCCCCCAGTCAGCAAACACAAAGTGGTCTGAAACACGTAAGAAAATAGTTTATCTGATAAAGATTTTCCTGGATCAGAATCCAAGTACAGTAAGCTTAACATACTTGGGTTAAGTAAGGCTGCTGTTGCCTTACTTAACCTGCTGTGCCAGGGGAAGTGAAGCCCTGTTAATGGTTGGAATGAGACCTTTTTGGTGTTTTGTTTCTCATGCTTTTACTGTCCTCCTCCTTTCAGACACAGATGCCCGACCCCAAAACCTTCAAGCAGCACTTTGAGAGCAAACATCCCAAGTCCCCCATGCCCCCCGAGCTTGCGGATGTTCAGGCATAAAGGACTGCTGACTGGACCTGAATCTGGGTGAGTAGTACCTGTAGTGTTTTAAAAAAAAACAGTGTTTCCCACTCTCCAGGTTTCAAATTTAGACCAGAATTTGCTCTGCCAGGTTGCTTACTGGTCAGATTTGTGTTGTATGATGTTGGATGCACTACAAGTCCTCCTCGGACTGCAGCTGGCGTCGGTAGTCCTCGTTTCTGCTTTGGAGACCGGCTGTGAGTTGACGGGACACTCCAGTTGGAACCGAAAGCAGATTGAGAACTTTCTTGATTCTGTTTAAATTAATATTGGAGTGAAACTACACAGCAAACATGAGGAAACTGTGTTTAAACTGTAAACATGACCCCACAAACTGTTGCTTACAGATACACAATGACTACGGATTAAACATCGACTCGCGGCACCTGAAGGACGTTGGCGACGAACGCTGGGACCTCTCAGAATTCACGGACATCGGGTTGGGAAGGCGGGACAGGGCGGATGTGTGTATGTGCTGTGTACGTACATGTTTGTGTAAGAGAAAACAGTAATGATGGGGCAGGCGTACACCAGCAGCCCAATTTTATATTTATTGTGTACAACTACCTTGTTATCCCAAGTTGGGGAGGGGGGGGAAGCAGAACCAGCAAGATTATCTGTCTGCTTACACTGAATCAAAATTGTGACTAATGACGGGGATCTGGAAAAGCTTCAATAGGATGTAAAATAAAATTTCTGAATGTGAGTCTACCTGACAGCCGGTTCTATTGAAACGGTGTCGTCCAATGAGGCGACGGCACATTCACTTCACTCCCACATGGACGTGGCTCTGCTGTCGGGTCAACTCTTCAGCTCTGATTTTTCTTTCTCTCCCCAAAAAAAAATCCCAAAATCGGCTCCTTAAGGCGACTAAACGTTTCCTTTAACTTCCTGTCTGTATGGTCGGACTCCACAGCTCTGCCTCCTCCATGCTGCTGCTGCTCCACAGGTGTCCACACTCGGTAACACCTTACAACAGTACCTCACGTTAACCACACAGCAAGTCTATAACGCACTCTTTTTCAAATCTCTTCCACTTGGACTTCTCAGTGTCATCCTTCTTGGCAATAACACCCCCCATCTTTGTCCCGCCTCAGTTAAAGCAGGAGTTGTTCTGTAAACCAAACACGCAGCTCTGTGCTCAGCGATGCTTTCAGCTGTAGTTTGAAGAAGCTGTACGTAGCCCCAAAGGACTGAGAGAGAAATCATTTAGTTCCGAAACTGCAAAAGATAAGAGTTAAGGATTTTCTTTTTGGGTCTTCTTTAAATCACTAGCAAGCAAAAATAATTTGTTTTCACTGTAACTTTTTTTTTACCCTTTTCAATAAATTGAAAAATGTATTTAATGTGATCGGTCTGCTCAGATGCCTTTTATTCTGCATGAGAATCGTTTTTGTTTTTAAATCAATACAGTTAGTTTGTGTGTGTATTACTCAGACTGTGACTATTAACTGTTTTTAACTCAGACTTGCTACTTCAAGCTAACATATAAAGAGGTTAAGTTAAAAGTTTGGGATGGATTTGCATGAAATTTTGTTTTAGAGGCGATGATTTCAAGACCATTTAGAAAATATCAACTAATCTGGATCCGGACTCAAAGCGAGGTGTGGAGCAGTCTTGGTCTGCTCCTGCTGAAATAAGTCTAGAACCCGGTCCTCACATTTTCACCATAAAATAATTTATGATCCCAGCGTTTGGAGCACTGATGTTCTCGGCTTTGGGAGTGGCTACTGCAAATACTCCAGTACACCCTACTGTTTCCACACCGGGTGGAATATTGCAGCTGTGTGCAGGACTGCTTATACATAAATGTGAAGGCACTTCCTCCGTGGAAAGCTCGTCTCTTCTGTCCTCCAGATGCATTTAAGGACTTGAGACATCCAGGCGTCAGGCTGATTTCCAGGTTTTAGGCAGGATGATAGAGACGCTGGTAAAAAGCCCATCATCACGTTTACTTTCACACCTGTTGAGACTCTGGTTTCACAGCAGCTGGCTTCAGATTGGACTCAGGTTACAACATGTTTGCATTTCACTTTAGTGGAATAACTAGGATTTGCTTAAAACTTGCAAAAATAAAATTAGATTATTTACACGCCTCAATCTCAAACTGATAATAAATGTACTGTTTATTTTATATTAACTGAATACAGTTTAATAATCTCTTCATATAGATTTTTCTTATAACAACAGTAGTGCTGTCAGTTAACAAAACCAAAAAAAATTATCAGGCATCACTGATGGATTTCCTACCATCTAAAATCATCTGCCTTCATGAGAATTTAAACCTTTCTGTAGTAAACTAAAGTTTGTGGTTTGATGCTGATAGATTAGCTTTTTTCAATTTGAAAATGTATCAAAATAAGAGAAATGCCCAAACATTTGCTCGTAACTTCCCTGAAGAAGCTAAGCGATGTTCAATGTGTACATTTATGCCATTTCTGCAATGTAATCGTGTAGCCGCGAATCGATTGTTTTTGTGAAGCCAAAGAGTCTCGGAAAATGCTGAAACACTGACAAAGGAGAAATCTGCGAACTTTAACTCTGAAAAACGGGACCATTCAGACCTGCTGGATGAGATTTGTTGGTCCATCATCATCCAAACTGTTCATGTTTCTGCAGCGTCTGGAAAAATAAATCACCCTTTATACATTTTCTTCTAAGCGGAGCCTCGGCCACTCATAGACAGCCGCAGGTCTTGACCACCATGTTGCGATGCTTTTTGAGGATGACGTTGTTGTTGTCGTCGTAGAACAGGACTGAGATTGGGCTGAGCTTCGTGGGGGCGCAGCACGCTTTGGGGACCTCGTCAGGCTTCAGGATGTGAACCTGCCAGAGCAGAGTGAAATACAGTTAATGCTGTTATACTAAAGTATGTTTTAGATATGTAACAGAGAAGAGACAAAAATAAAGTCTATTATAATATTTAGGTATGTTGTAATCAGGTGTTTACAGGAGTTAGAGTCTGTTGGCAAGTTTTAAGGACTTTTATTTTACCAAGCTGTCCAACTGAGACCCAGATCTGTTCTGCAAGAGAAGCTGGTCAGTGTGGCAGCCATAGAGACTCAATATTACCCTTTCTTCATGGTACCCATCCCTCGAGCCTTTCTCCATTTGAAGCAATGAATTATCAGAGATTGTAACATCTGGTCCTCTTACTGAATCAGTTCGTGTTTCTTTTGTTATTTCAGTTAAATTAATAAAATAAAAGGAAATGCTCCTAACTGAAAAGATCCATTTCATACACTCCAAATTTGTCCAAACACTGAGTGATCATATAAAAAACAATTTGGATGTAATTAATGACCAGAACATTTGTGATTTTCCTTCCTGCAGCGCAACAATTGCCCACAACTAAAGAAAAACAGCCACATGCCTCCTTCACCACATTTATTACAGTGTGTAAATTCACAAACCAGCTACAAGTGCAGATCTTTCTGTAAAGTTTCTGCAATGTTTGTTAAAATAAAAACACTTCAGATCTGAAATCCCACATAAAAAAGAATGACCTGAAAAAGTAGTTCAGCTCTAAAAGAATGCAGTAAGAGACTGCAGAGGCGCAATGATAATATATCATAGGCACAAAAGTAGAGGCCACAAATCCACACCTGCGCAAACCCAGATGTATGCATCAGCGGTACTCAGTAGTGTTCAGGAGTTTACCCAGTGGCACATTCGGATGCAGGAGCTGGGACTGAACCATCAGTCGCCTCAGTGGGGTTAAGGTCTGGCTCTGTGATGGCCAATATGTGTTTGAAATGTTCCTCAATGATTCCGTCAGGGAAGCAAAAATCCACTGATGGAATAAACATGGTTGCTCATTATACTCAGGTGGTCAGCTGACCTCATTTTTTGGAAACGTGGTGTTAAAAATGCACAATGTTGTTTTTGTTGGTCGAGTAGTGCGTACACACATCACCATGACACACATCAAGCCAACAGGAGCAACAAATTGACTGAGATTACTACACGAGGGGCCCGCGGGGAAAGGTAACAAGCTTCACGGTGTTTATTTTATCTGTATTCTGACATGGCCGAGGTCAGGATGTGATTGACTCGTGTGTACTGACCACTTGCTGGATGAGGGCGTGGTTGGTGGCGTTCATGCAAGCGCCCAGAGGATAAAAGCACTCTCCATCACAGTAGTACGCCGAGTATCCAGTAGGAGCCAAAACCCAGTCCTGAGCACAAAGACACAATTATAGTTTATGATACAGAAGCTACAAGTTTTATCTAATCTATAAAGAAATGTCACGTATGAGAGCGACACATGAGACGTTATATCAAAGATGATTTAACTTTTATAGGTCACTAGTAAACATGATTAACACCACGAGTAACAGGACTGACCTTCCAGCCCAGATCGCTGAAGCTGACGTAGAGTTCGTGCTTTTTACAGGGCTGACCTCTGTTTTCAGAATTACGTTCTGAAGGAACAACAGAAAAAAAGGTGAAAATTATTTGCACGATAAAACAACGAGTTAAAGGTTTCAACACGGTCATCAGTAAGGCCTGTAATCCCAGAGTGTGATTGGCCGGAGCCTGACCTTTGAAGTTGGGGACTGGGAGGTCGTATTTGGGTTTCTTCCTGCGGGGATGAGGTTTAACGGCTCGCGGCGGCCGACACGGGACCTGGTTCTCCCTGAAGAAGGTGACCATGAAAGGCTGCTTGGAGCGAGGGCCCCTCCGACCCACCAACCCAATCCACCCTCCAGCCAAGGAGCGGTCTGAAAGAAAAGTGTCTCGTTATATAAAACATATAAAGGTAAAGAAGCTGGCTAATAATTATGGAGACCTTGATACAGGGTGTTGACCTCCTGGGGCCACACCCTCCCTCATTACATAAATACACATCACCTGATCTGCTTAAGTCCAATAAGCGTTTAAGTTTTTACAGCTTGGAGTTGGAAAATATACATAAAAACTGTCATATGGTCAAAATACTCCCTACTCACCAAGCCCAGTATAAGATAAATACGGATTATTTTGAACTGACTCATGCAAAGCTACACTTGAGGAGTCCAAGGGTGAAGATATGGAGCTGGAAATGAAAGTAACATGACCTGTTTAAGTATTTTCCACTGATTAAAACCACAGGGCAGGAAAGCAGGAGATAGTTGGAGGTTACAACCATATAAGGCGAATTAATGGATCTAATGGCACTGATAGAAATGAGCATCGGTGTTGGGCCCAGAGGCGGACCCACCTTCTTCTGTCTCTACGTAGAGACGTATGCCCATGTTGCTGCGGGGGTGGACGAGCCAGTGGTTGGAGGCTGAGGTGACGTCAAAAGCCAGCCAGCCCTCCTGCCCTGCAGGTACCGACTGCATGTCCAACAGCACCAGCTCTGGCTCTCTGCAGGAAGAGGACGTATAGAAATTTAGAATTTAAAAGAACAGCTTGGTGGTTTCACATATTTTGATTGAGCATACAATCACCAAAATTAACTATATGGTCAAAGGTCTTTTGATCTTTTAGTTGTTTTACACTTTACGTAAAAATCTCTGCAAGGTTAGGATCTGAATGCTTCTTCCAGCTCTGGTGTTTTTCTCCAGCACACGCAAGTAAACTTTATCAGTCTAGACAATCGTAAACACTCGAGTCAGCCTGTATTTATCAGTTTGACAGATGACGTCCTTTACGGCTGTTATAAACAAGACTTCAGATGGTCTTATTTTCACAGACTGCAGCCAGGCTCGCGATCTCTGAATCTGTGTTTTCAGTGTTGCTTTGATCTGATTTGACCTGCTGATTTCATATAAGGTTATCGGTCTAGCTTTGTGTTTGAACCAGTTAGTGTAAAAACAAAGTAGGGCTGAGGCACGGGGGGGGGGGGGGGGGGGGGGGGGGGGGGTGTTTATAGGCTTATACCCATAAATTTAAAACAACATAAAGACGCTAAAGACAGGCTAAAGCGTCAGAAGGCCTAAAGCTGGCCGTGTGGGACTAAAATCAAGTAACTGAGACCAAGACTGAGAAGGAGAACTACCGTAAAGGAAGAAAGACATAAAAGTGAGAGGAAACCTCTGTCTATTCTCTCGTTTGATCTCGTAGACGGAGATGTGCAGCGTTCGGTTTGCCCTCTGACCCACCGTCAGCGTCTTATAGATACGAAACTCTGCCGCAGTCACCGTCTCACCCTTGGGGAGAGGGGTGAGGTCAAAACGAAACTCCTTCCAGTAGGGACGAGGCTGCAGGAGGTCACGCTCCTGCTCCACTGCACACGGAAAGAAAGAATAGGGGAGATTCATCAGCATGGCTTTTCAGAAGGAACAGATTTGTTTGAGAACTTTAAATAGAGTTAGATTGTAAACATTTAGATGATTTGACAGTAATGCTGAAGTATTCCAAGCATACATTCTGGAAGATGGAGGCACAGATGCTCAAGCATCATTCCTGGTCAGTGCATGCTGGTCCTGCACATTCATACAAGTTTGTAAATGAGGGCATTTCTTTCAGAACACCAGAATAAAGCAAACAATCAAAGAAAAAAAAGGATAAACTAAATAATGCGATAAACAAAAACAAAAAAAAAAACTCAAACAAGGGGAAAAAAGCTACCAGGTGAAGGTTTTTGGACCAACACCAGTCGCTGTCGGTGCCAACATCAGATTACAAACTGTTCCTGTTGTGCAAAGAACTGGGGGAAAATGGTTTCATCCAACCAGATCTGAACGGTTTGTCTGAGGAGTTTTAGTTAACAGCAGATGAAAGAGGAGAAAATGTGTGTAACTGTGGAGCATAAAGGAGCAACAAAAGTGAAGAAGAGGAGCAGCAGTGAGCTCATCAGGAAATGAGTCAGAGAAAAGGACAGAGGGAAACAGTGATGAAAGAACTATTCACATCTTTGTAACACAAGTAAAAGATCAGACAGAAAGGTGATCATTACAATTTATTCCTCATTATTTTTATTAATGATAATTTACTGCTGTAGCTGCAAAATGTAAAAGACAATTTAAACTACTGTAAAGTGCAAAAAAATAAAACAAATAACTATTATATCCTTCACACAGAAAAATCATACCAACTAACTGCACCCGAGAAGCAGAACTCAAGCAAACATTTCCCCCAAATGTATAAAAGACCGACGTGTTTCTGTTCGTAAGGTCGCAGTTTTAAAATTGCATTCTTTTATTGCCCACCAGGGGGCGACAGCGCTGCCTGCAGCTCCGTCTCGCCGTGACCCGATGACTCATCGGCTCAGTTGCCAATGGTGATTCCGTGATAAAGGAGGGTCATCCAGGGACTGTCAATTACAAATCAGGTGACTGCTCCCACCTTTTGTGGCCTGCACTACAGGCTGCACGTCGTAAACACATTCTTCTTAAAGGTTTCAACTATTTTTTCCTTCATAGTATTAAATAAATAAGCTGTTCGGTTCTGTCATTTATTCTTCTAGCGAGGAACAAGCGCATCAAAATCATATAAACACTGGAAAATACAGAAAAAAGGCAAATAATTACAGGATAATGTTGTTTACTGTAGTTTGAATACAGTAAACACCGGTCATCCTCAACATTAATCTGAGGTCATCATATCTTTTGAGCACTTTCGTTTGTGAGCTAGGACAGTAATTAAAACTCGGTCTGATTTATCTTGTGGATACTCAAAAAGCCTTTGTTGAGTTCTTTAATTGGACAAAGTCTTTCTAGAAGCAGGCCCCGAGAGTCTGCAGCCACCCTGAGAGTGATCTAAGATCCCGGGATCGCCTAGTGCCGACATTTATGACCGTTGTTATGATTTTTGTCATATTTTTTAAATCATAAAAATGTTTCTTGAATTTATCAGTTTACTTCACTCATAAAATGATCAATAATCACAAAGCAACGATTGAGTAAAATGCAACTGATTTATAAAATGAAATGTTTATTTATTCAAACTTGTATAAAATGAAAATTTACCAATCAAGTACAATTCATTTGATCAGATTCCAATAAATTACATTTTTACATATATTGGGGGAAAATGCCAGTTTTTAAAACTCACAGATTAAGTTGCAAAGACTCACTTTTAGTTTAGATTTGGGGATGGACAGTAAACCCTGATCAGAAGATCTACTGGTAACATTTGACTGTTTGGCTTTACAAACACAAACGGAGCCATTACGAGATTTACTGTATAAACTATAATGGTAGCTATAAATGACCACACTTGGTGACTTGAGGGTTCAGCTGAGGTGCCCTGCTGAAGGGCACATCAGGAGCTGCTGAGAACATGCGAGCATGAAAAGTCCTTCAGGGTTTGATCGTGACTCACAGGAGGAAACCCGAAACATGACACGAGGTGGAAAATGCAACTGAGGCCTGAATCTGTAAACGCAGAGGTGAGCAAGTGAACACACGCCCTCATACATCAGCACAGCGAGTGTGTGTGTGTGTGTGTGTGTGTGTGTGTTTGGGGTTTGGTCTACACACACACACACGCACACAGAGCATGTTAAATAGAGATACTCAGCAGAGGACACCCCTCATGGGTTGGGCGTGCGCATATCAGCACACACACACACACACACACACACACACACACACACACACACACACACACACACACACACACACACACACTGCAGCAGTAATTAGAGACACTTAGTGCTCTGAACCGCAGCAGCTGCTCCGCACACACACCACTAATTGCAGCCCTGCCTGGTATTTTTAGTGTCGCTCCCTCCACAGCAGTATTTTCATCTCAATTCAGACCGTTGGCTTTTTTTGTGTGTCAGTGGGCCTTTAATTCTAACCAGCTGTGTCTTCCCATTACATATGCACAGACACACACACGCTCGCCTGTTTCATTCAGCTTACACGAACCACACGCACTGATTCGATTAGTTATTCGAGGAGCTGCTAAATATATTTGGTGTGTGGTTGGATGCTTCGTCTTTTTGTTGTGTGAAAGTTCACACACTCAGCCTGAGGTCTTTATTTCCTGCACGATATCTCGAATGTTCTCTGTTCGCCTGATGTGTTTTAGCCGCCCTTTTAAGTACGTTCAGTGAAGTTTTAAAGGTTTTCTCCAAAGGAAACTCTGTCCTGAGCTGTAGGTGATTATTAAAGATATGAGTCACTTCTGTTTACGAAATCGTGCTGCTTTGGGAGATGACACGCTATGCTTCTGCAGCGCCGACTGATAAATTTCAGGGTGCTTTTTCTTTTCCGTAGCAGAGCAGATTTATGTTTTGTTTCTGAAAAAGCAAACCTCTCATTTGAGGCAGTTCATTAGAGACCCCGAGCAGAGAGGGGGTGACGTTTCCCACGGTGAACTGGGTGCAGATCACCATCGAGCAGGAGGAAGGAAACCATCGGGAAGAGGATGTTTAATGTTCAGGCTCGGACAGATAGGCATCAGCGGGGCTGCGCTGTCGTGTTGGTGGACGCATAAACATCCACACACGGAGGCCAAGAGGCAACTTTCAGCAGTATATTGTTTTCGGTATTAAATGTTATGAATTTTCTTAATGGATTAGTTTTTTGTTTGGGCTGCAAAATGTTAGAAAACACTGAAAATTCCAAATCAGTTTTTCATTTCTGTTCAGCTTCACTTTCCTTTCTCTGAACTGTATAAACATGTTTAGGGTCAGTTTAGTGTGTACATGCTGGGTGGTCACTGTCAGGGCCATGTCAGTTAACATATAGTACAATATAAACACAATCTTCCTCATGCTGGTCGTGTTGCAACATTTAACCAAACTGCATTAGTATTTTTTTAACCACATAGTATCATTTATTCCCATAAAATCTATAAAAATGTTTTTGTTTGCTTGCTTCTTAAATAATATAGTTGCTTAGAACCTTTGTTGGTGATGAACACTTTCTTGGTGATGCTCTGTTTTTGTCCCCTATTAATTGACCTCCATCGAGTTCACGCTAACCAACATTTCTCACCATAATTAAAAGATGGGCATAATCAGTGTGAGCATCTCTGTTTTTAAAAACGACATCATGAGAGAGAGAGAGAGTGCAGTGACTTTTCAATCACACTGTAAACAGCTGCAAACCTGCTTTATTGACCTTTTTTATTGTAAAGGGGACATAATTTACCAAATTGACATCATGTAATATTCGATGAGACTTTAATTTAATGATCTTGACCATAAACGTATCAGGAAAGTGTTTACTGGGGTCATAAATAAAGCCAGAAGCACGGTGGTTTTACAACCCAGTCTTCAGCAACAAGGGGAGTCGCCCCCTGCTGTTCATTAGAAAAAAATGCAGGTTTAAGACATGCTCTCTTCCACAGCATGTCTTTTATCCTGTCTTCCTTCTCTCACCCCAAGTTTCTTCCTGTTAACCGGGAGTTTTTTCTCCCCACTGTCGCCAAAGTGCTTGCTGATAGGGGCTCAAATGATTGTTGGGTTTCTCTCTGTATGTATTATTGTAGGGTCTACCTTACAATATAAAGCGCCTTGAGATGACTGTTGTTGTGATTTGGTGCTGCATAAATAAAACTGAATTGAACTGAATTAAGGCTCAACCCAGCAAAATGTCTGAACTAAACTAAAAATAACAATAAACTTAATTTCATATGCAACTACAGTTAACACTATATTTTAATGATAATTACTAACTTCCTGCTTGAACGTATTGAAGATTATGCCCAGTTAATCCATGCAGCCATTATTAATGAAAGCTGAGTAAAATGATCTAAACAAAGGACATTAAATACGTGGATCTGCTTCAGAGTGTGGATAAGAAGCAGCCAATAAAGGGTTTAATTCAGCCCACTGGGTGGTTGAAAAGTTTTATATGAAGAGAGGTTTACTTAAAATATACTTCTTAGTGGCTCATAGTCCGTTTCTGTCATGTCAAAGCTGTCTTACAGATAAATACTCAAAGTATGGCAGGCCTTTATAGCTGACAGATCTGCAAAGGAACTGTGGTGAGGTGTTTGACTTCCATAATAATGTTTCTGTGTGATTTCGACTGAGTGTGGAGAAACAGACATTTCAGGCTGTTTCATTCTGAACAGATGGTTCAGGATGTATTTCTTTACACCAAAGGGAAACAGACTGGAGATGTTTTAGGTTGTTACGGTGTTTTGGTGGTCTGGACCACATGTTCAGACAATCCCTAAATTTTGATTGGCTGCAGTTTACAAAAGTCCACATAAATCTGCTAAGACACGAGCTGAAACAGAGATGTGAGGATCTATGAATGAATTCCTGCTGAAGCCCAAAGATGATCAGCAGGCAGAAGAGCAGCTGAAGTTTGTGACCATTCCTTCACATCATCAATGCCAAACGTTTCACCTGCATAGTTTGTGTGTGTTTAAATCAACAAACACTTTGCATGCACCAGGTTTAGTTTTTTCACCCTACTTAATGTTAAATTGGGCTATTTGTGCCCTCAGAGCTAAAATTAGTTTGATGCCCCTGATTTGGACAGATTTTCACCTCTTACTTTAAACATCAAAGTCCTTCATCTAATATCAGGGGAGCAGCAGGGGACTGAGGCTGGTGGATTTTAGGAACCATGAACTGAAACGTAAACCTACCAATAAAAATCTGTTGTACTGACAGCGGGTTTAATCCGCTCTGCTGGGGGGAGAGTTAGAGGAAACTACATGAGACTAAAAATTATGGCACTGTCAGAGTCATCAAGCTCACACACTGTGTAATTTCATTCCTCTGAGTTTGCGTTTTGTAGCCAAACCACAAAAAGGCAAAAACTGTCCTGTCATTCAAACCTGATGATAAACAGCGTTCCTCTCTTTAAGCTATAAGGAGCAGTCCAAAGCTTAGACCGTTTAGTGATGCCAGATGAGAAGACCGATGCCACAGCTTTACCTACAGATGTTAGAGAATGAAAACTGGAGGGGGAAACATCTGGGCTGGTTCAGTTTCAAGGTAATAAAATCTACTTGATGCCAACTGTGACCCTAATTATTACCAATTAACACTTTAGATCTTGTTTGTTTAATGGCTATAATAAAACGAAACTCAAACCTAGAGATGCACCAACATATCAGCAAAACACTGCCATTGGTTTTGTTGGTAATTCGATCACAGTTACTGCGATGAAGACTTTAAAATGATTCAGTTATTTTTCTTGAAATTTCTTTGTTTCTTTGACATGGGAGAAATATGAAGACAAACAAAACAGAAAGACAACTTCAGAAAACTCTGGCACATCTATCAGTTACATTTTTCCTGTAAATATCTAAAGAGGCTGAAGCTCCAGAAACACTCGTGGCTTTCACCGGGGTCAAGAAACATCAGTACCTGCTGAGAATGACATTTCCTGGTTTTAAATGTCTCGCAAGTCTTGCTTTCACAAACATTTACCTGACCGTTTCATAAAGCCAGTTCTACTGGCCTTTTTGATTCTAATGAGGACCATAATTTACAAAGTGAACATCGCGTTGTATTAAGTAGGACTTCAAATTAGAAACTGAGAACATTAAATCATCAGGAAAATGTTTCTTGAAGTCAGAAATCAGGTGAAAAGTAGGGCTGTTTATCTATAGACTTCTACAGTAAGCAGAGGAGTCGCCCCCTGCTGGGCATATGAAAGAATGCCAGTCAAAGACACTTCCAGACCTGGACGTTAGGTGCATATTTTATATATCAGCTACGGTTATATTAAATGATTAAAGGTACATTTTGTAAGTACTCGGTGCAGAATTTAACTAAAATGTTTACCACCAGGGGGCAGCATTTTACACAATTTTCCCTCAGGTTTTACATCACACCAGGCTGCCATTGTGCAATTTCTCATTGACTTACATGTTATATAAAGGTGACGCTGATTCACTGCACCATCTTGTGGTACAAATTGGTATTACACAAAAGAAAAGCATGGCTCTAGTTTAGCTACACCTGGTAACGCTTCACCCAGTCGCTGATGTTTTGGACATAAAGTCATTGTGTTGATTGCCTTAGTTTTAGGAAAACAAGTACCTTTAACAGTTTTATGACTCACCCAGGTTGACGAAACTCATCACCGTGTCAGCCTCGCTGACTACCGTCCCCAGCGGCGGTGTGTGCGTGCTGAGGGTCGGCAGGGCCCCGCGGTTGACCTGAGGAGTCCCTTTAGATGACCCCTTGAAAGGTGTACTTGCAATAATCTCATTGCCTTCATCCTCATCAACCGACATGGCGTGGTACAGGTCCAGCATGAAGAGCGGCGCAGAGGATGGCGGTCGCAGCGGAGGATGGGGTCTTGGTCTCCCCGGGAGACCCAGGATGGTCAGGATCTCCTTCTGCATCTCCTTCTTCTCTCGTCCACTAAGCTTCCGGAAGCTGGAGGGGACCACGGCCTCGGCCTGCTGGCTCCACAGCGAGAGGGAGAGCAGGAGCAGCAGGGAGAGGAGGAGCAGGGTCCAGGGGTGGATGGCGGATGTGGATCTGGCGCTCCCCGTGTGCATCCGTGTCATCTTGGTGAAAAGGCAGGAGAGGCTGTAAGAGACGGCCGAGGCCATGACTGTAGTCTGCCCCCGATTCTTCTCAAAGTTTCCCCTCACAAATAATCCACTTCCCTCCTCGCGTCCTCTCTCACCTCCACCAGTGTGACCAGCCTGACCACCACAGAGTGCCTTCTGCTCGCTGCTGTTTGTGCCCCGACTGCTTCAGAGTCACCACAGACAAATACAACCTTGATTTATGCCCAATGTGTTTAGAAAACAGCTGCCTCTGGACAGGATGTGTTTACAGCCTTAAACTGCCTGTTTATCCCTCCCTGCCTCCCTCTTCTACCTTCTCTAATCTCCTCTCATCCACTTCTCCCTCACCTCTCAGCCGTGGAGCAGGAGAAGCAGAGATAATGAGAGTGAGAGCATAATTACAAGCTTTTCAGATGTGTTTTGGATATAGACAAACAATGCCCCTATGGAAGATTGCTCGAGGCTTTGAAGTTGTAAACTTGCAGGATGGAAAGCAATTTCAGTGATGAGCAGGTGCTGCAGAAATTGGAGTGAAACCGGAGAGCTGTATCATCAGGTTAGCTCCGACTTTTTCTCCACCGCACAAGGAAATGAAGCTCGCACCTGCAGTGAGCCAAAGATTAACCCGGGATACCTCACGAGGACCATCTGCTGACGAAAAATAACTTCTGGAAACTTTTATCCAGTCTTCCGTGAGCACTTATTCATTCATTCAAGGCCGCTCGCCTCCCACACGTCTCTGGGGTGCCAGATGTCTCTCTTAATCCACTTTATAAAAATTGTTTCCTGACTGTAAATCCTTGAGAGGGGTGAGAGGTTTCTCCTGCAGTCCTTCGCTCAGCGTGAGCTGTGCAGCGCTCTGAGTGTTTGAAGCCTGAACAGTTGTTCAAGACCAGAAGGGAGTTTCCCTCCCAGCCTCTGCCTCTCCTCCTCTTTCAAGTCCTAAAACTTCTCTCTTGTCCTGCTTACATCTCGTCAACCTCCCCTCCCAGTGGTCTCTTTGGGAGACCTCATCTCTCTCCTCCTTACCTCCACCCATCTATCTTTTCATCCTCTTATGACTGCTTCCTTTCATTGCTACTCCGCTTTAAGTGTCTGGCTGCCAGCTGCCTTGTTTAATGCTAAAGCATCTCTGTTCGCTCGGTGAGTCAGAAGTCAGGAAGTCAGGGAGAAGCATTTCTTTACACATGTAACCCTGCACAGAGATGCCAAACTGACGGAAAGGTCGTAAAATAATAATATCAAGACAAAAAGGCAACGTTTAAAAAAATAAACCTTTTTAGAAGTTAGCAACAAGTTAACTTTAAATACACCTGCGAATAAAATGATACCCTATTTTAGTTTTCACTGATGGATTCTGGGGGTTTTTTTGGCTCTTTTTCAACAAAAACAACGGATGAATAATGACTGTAAATGAAAGTGCCAAAAACCGCATTTCCTCTCATGGCCACGTGAGGCCGGCTCTACAAACTCAAACTAAAAACTGTATAAAATCAAAGCTTCTCAGTCATCCAGGCTATGGTTGTCTTAAATGGTTAAAATGATGGCAGCTGGACAACTTTGTGGTTCATGAAGACGTCTCACCTCTCGTCCAAGAGATTTACAACCTGATGGAGAATCGTAAGGGCGTGGGAGGTGGTCCTGAGAGTCGTTGGCCCACCCTGTAATCTTCTGAGTCATTAGGAGTCACATGACCCAAGGCCAACCTGGCACCTAAAGGAGAAAGGACACTCGTTAGAGGATGCTAATCTTCACAGTTTGGACCAAGAAGGCAGATAGTTTGACAGAGTGAGGTGGTGGTTGACAACACCGACTATCAGACACCCACCATACTGTCTTGAGATCATTTTCTGGACGATTCAGCCGCCACTGACATCTACAGAGCCTGTCGTGCAGCAGGCCTAATGCAAACACACTGTGTGCATGTGTGCGACTCTAAATCAAAAAGACTTGGAGGGAAGAAGTGACTCAAATATAGTAGTGAGGCTCAGGCCTGTGCCAGCTCGTGTTTGTGTACTCTTTGCTTCAAAGCGGCCTGGTACTTGTGGTCACTTTGAAAGGCATGAATAACACTGACCAAACCAAAGTGACCACGGTTCATTCTGTCCTGGCCGAAAGGGCGAGTCCCAAATGCCAGGAATTAACGCTCTGCCCCATTTTGTTTTCTTTTGCTCTTCACATCTGCAACTTTATGGAAGCCTCGTCTGGAGAGATAAAGGGGAGGGGGAGAGGAGTGAGAGGAGATGAAGAGGCGGAGGTGAAAGAACAAACAGGGAGTTAAAGAGGAGAGAGAGGAAAAAAATGTGCCCGAGTGCCCTCAAAACCATACAAACCCAGCATAAATGAAAAATGACATTCCTGCGAGACAGAAGTGGTGGAACAGAGCGAGGACTGTCATCAGAGGGAGCAGTCTGGGATGACAGATGGACTGCAGGCAGGACGGGCGTAGATGGATTGAGAGTGGACAGAAAATGAGAGGAGTGCGAGTGTGAGTGTACACACAGCTGCAGAGGGTGGACTCAGACCTCATCATCTCCGGTGGAACCACCAAATAAACAGGACGGAGTTATTTTCAAATCCTCCATCGCCGTCTCACACCGACACAAACTGGGGAGCTTGAACACGACAAGAAACACATCAGGACCGAGAGGAGGGAGCTCAGATTATTGAGATTACTTACTCCACCACCTCCTCCCCTGGGGTTAGCGACTCATCGTGTACAGGAGAGACGATCCAGTCGGGCGTGCCCTTATCTGTAACAGCGTAATTACCTAAGAATGTCCGGTGTCTGTGGGCCGCTGTCTGCATGAGTGAGTGAGTGAGTGTGGGCACGCACATGCAAACCAGAGAAATCGGAGACTTAAAGGCCTTTTCCATTAATTAGACTAGAAATCCTTAAATAAAAACTAATGATAACAAAAAACAAGGAAAACAAGCTGGAAATATCACTTTAAGACCTGAAAAAAAAGTCAATGTACTCACAAAAATACCCCTAACTGACCAAGTGATGCTACCCATCTCACAAAATCAGCAGACTTTCATTTTTAATATCATGTAAATGAAGACATATTATCCATTTATCGAGTGCAGTTATTATTTTTTTAAATGGTCAGTCATTCAGTGCAGGAGTATCTGACTCTCTGGTCTTTGGGAGTTTGAATTTAGGTGGGCGGGGCTAGTTAAAGCCATGCATAAAAGCCACACGGCTTCCATTCTTGCAGTGCAGGGGTCTCAAACTTCAATGAGCTGTGAGCCACTGCTGGCACGGTCACCTCATTGTTCATGCAGTACAAAAAGACCCCAAACAAACGAGAAAACTCCCACAAATATTTCCAAAAATCTAGTGTTTTGTTTTGTTAATTTTTCAAATATTGTGTAACAAGACAAAACTGCAAACGTGAACACATTTTTTCTCTCACCTCTTACTGAACAGAAGCTTTTCATTGAACTACTAAATAAACCAATGGCTACTCTTTCTGGCCAGACACGTGGCAGCACTTCTGCTATAAATTTGTTTGTATTTAACAAAACAAAAATGCAGACATAAGTGTGCACGTTAGTTTTGGACTCTCTCACTGAACTAACACGGCCAATCCCTCAACACGTTTGTGCTCTCTGCTCATGTTGCCTTCATATTAAATCATTTTTTACTTTTAAAGACTTTATTTTAACATTGCACTCAACAATACACAAATCCTCCCTGACAAAAAAGTTACTTCTGGGGCCAAATTGCATTACATTTCTTCAGGTCAATATAAGGGCCGCAAGTAGGGGTGAGGTGGGCCGCAAGTGGCCCCTGGGCCACAAGTTTAAGACCCCTGTTGTAGTGTAAAGAGGTATTTTGGGAGCAGATTTAATAAACTGCCCGTTTACAGATCAAATGATCAGAGTACTCTTGCCCTTAACAACAGTATGGCTCTTATTTCTTTATGACCAGAGCTATGAGAGAGTCCTGGCACTCAAACATCCCAGCTCAGTTGTGCAGTGGGGCAGATTTGGTGCTAGCAGAATAACCTCCAACTAAAACCTTATCTTGGGGCAGCTTTTAAATCAGGTTCGTCCAGTGATCATAAACGTGAAACCTTTATGTACGGATGATCATTAAAATTAAAGTTACTTTAGATGTTTAATGCTTTAAATAAGTGAACACACACATATTAGTGTTGCTTCTAGGACTTTGGATAAGATTAAATACCTCGTAGAGATCAGGAAACACCTTTAAAGGGGTTTTGTGTAGTTCATGCATTAGAACACACAGAACAGCAGAGCACTGAGAATTTTCTATGATTTATGATTGCAAAGTCTGAAATTTACAGCAAAGTCATCTGCTGATGCATGTTTGATGCCCCTGACCTGGTGCATAAATCAGGGCTTCAGTTCAGGTTGGAGTTGTTGGGACCGGTGACCTCTTGCTTATATTAATAATAACTAATAAGTTGTGGGTGCTTCGGGTCACATTCACACATCAAACTCGGCTGCTCTTACATACACAGACGCAAAAGACGAGGTTTTACCGCAAGCATAATTTTAATACAAAAACAGAACAAAAAAAATTGTTTATAATTTTAGTTTTTTTTTGTTGTTTTAATTTTACACAAGTGACTCATAGTAACACCCCCTCCCCTCCCTCCATGTTCTTATCACACAGAGTAGCACAGCATCAAAAGGTGGTGGACTCGTCTCCCGATCCCTCCCCCCTCAGAGAGACAATAAATAAATAAAAATCACCTTATGATGTCTTCTTCTTCTTCCTTATTGTAAATTCATTAGTTTTCATAAACTTCATCTCTTACACCGAGATAACACAGAGACAAACTCGAGCCCCGCCAAAGATGGAGCATTTGGAAAAAAAAAAGAAAAGCCTAGAAGAAGAGACGCTGGGGAGGGACACGAGGGAGGACGCCCGCTCTCATTGGTCCGCTCAGCCCAGGTCCCCTGTCATTCATATTTGTAGTTCTCTCTACACATGAAGGGCAACCCCCTTTGGTCGTGGTCAGGAAAACTGTAGTCATTAGCTTTAAAGAAAATGTAACAAAAAGGCTGCCACTAGAATCAGCGACCTAGTGAATGATGTCATGTTACAACAGAGTAGAAACACACGTTACACACAGATCACGTCGAAACAGCGGAGTGGGCATCTTCTCGGTACAAAAAAAGAGAAAAAAACTTTCACCATAATACTAAATCACTCTCTGCCAACGGTGATATGACGTGAAAAATAAATAGATCTTTCTCTCAAGCTAGAAAACAAAACTGGATTATAAATTAACCAGAAAACAACGAGAAGAAAAAAAAACAAAAAGACATTCGCAAATTAAACGTTTGCATACAGTGACTCAAGTCATTGACCTTTATTCTTTCCTATAAGAAAGACACACGCGACACACACATGCGCGCACACACCTTTTGAGTTTGAGAGTGCGCGTATGTGCTGCTGGGCTGCAGAGGAAGAGACAATTAGTGCATGCTGGTTGTCGGACTCTCCGAACGCGCTCGTTTACGTCAGGTTACGCATGTCGTGTATTGTCAGTAATGTGCTGTTAGTTGAGTGTGTCGCCATAAAAATAGTCCTCTCTATTGCCAGTTTGTGATTTCTTATTTCTGTGTGTGTCGGATTGTAACGCAGACATGTGACAAAACCGCCGAGACGCACACCCGCGAGGCCCGTCTTAACGTTCCAGCGGTCGGGAGGAGTCGGCTCTGCGGCGTTTGAGTGTGTGAGAGTTTGCCCTCAGCTGCAGCAGCGCCACCGCCGATCCTCCGAGTCTGAGGTTGGCCGCTGTGGGAGCCAGACAGCGTTTCCCGCCTCCGTAGATCTGCTGAGGTGACTCTTTTTCTCGCCA